CTAAGATAATCAATCTAAACAATTATGATTGACATAGTTAGAGGAGCGCTTAATGATACTTCGCTAATTAACTAATATAAGGTAGTGATGGTTATTAGAGAAAATGAATACCTCTGAGAGTTCATAATAACCTACAAAACAAAAATGTTTCTATTTAGGCAATTCTTCTGGTGCTTACTTCTTATGGTGAGGTCAAAGGCCAACATTAGTTTGAATGCATAGTTCTGGTGACATTGTTGCTAGCTTAATGGTTTCACAAAGTTGCAACTTTATCTGATACAGGATATGATGATTTTATTAAATAGACTTCAGTATGCCGTGAATTTATTTGAGATTGAAAAAAATTGAACAAATTAAAGCATTTAATATTTAAACTATTAATTTCAACAATCAGCTATGTATTGAGATATCGTGGAAATTTTCCTCATCAAACACTTAGTATTTAAATAAAGGAGAAAATGAAGCTTGACAAGGGGAAATTGAAACTTAATGTTTAAAGAAAGGAGAAAATGAAACTTGGCAAGGTGGACGGAGGTTGAAATGAGCAGGAAGAGAAACATGGTGAAATACAACGATTTAGCTGCCACCATACATTATTGCAACACAATGAGGAATGAAATTTCCATTTTCATGCATAGCTCATAGTACTATTTATGCTTTAACGCTAAACAAGCAAAACTAAGAACTGCTCCTATTAATAGTGGCTATCAAATTTTAAGTGACCGATCGCACAAATCAAAGTTGACCAGTAGAAATGAATATAACTCCCAATTGAAAATGAATGCCTTAAATTTTCAATAATTAATTTTTACTTAAATATTTATTTAACAATAAAATTGTCTAAAGCAAAATTTACCTGTCTATGCAATATGAGAACATTTCCCTATGGTTGAATGGGTCTGTTAATTAATGAATCTTATTATCAATTTGGTGCTTTTTTTCCATAAAGAACGTCTAAATTGTAGAATGATATTATTCCCACCTTCCTCAACCATTAATTATTTAACTTATTGCCAGCTTCTTTTTCGTTTAATTCATTTATGAAAATTCAAATTAAAATTTAAATGAAATTTCAATTGTAAAAATATTTTAATTGCAAATTAATTAATGCAAAAATTGTGGAGAAAAAAGAAATAGTAAAAATAATTTGATTGCTGTAAGTTTTTGATGTTGTAAATACATAAATGAAAGAGCAGACTGTGTCACTCATTTCAACTGATAATGTCATCATCCTATACTGATAAGCAACTGGTCACCAGAAGCATTAATGAATTCTTTAGAGCATTCTAGCAAATTTCAAATGACTACACATAGATTTCGTCTGATTACAAATATTTCCTTCCAATCTTATCATTATTATCACTATCAATAGATAATATTAATCGAATGCATATTATTCAACATATTATCAGCAGTTTTCAGGAAGCATATAATATTTCTAAGCAATAAAAGTTTATCAAATAATATATTTAAAGAAGTAATTATTAAAAAAAAAACTTTCGAAAGAATAAGATAACATATTTTAATCTTCGAACTGTTAGTAATAGAACTGTTAGTAATGATGAAATTTGAGTTCTTATCATATCACAATCGATGAGTGCATTATACTGCAATAAATGCTTATACAGGACCATATTATTGCTTTTAGTGTAGATGATAACAGTATATTAGTCATAATAGGCAACCGGGAAACGTTTTAATTTGATTTTGCTTGAACATATTAAATTGTACAAATCATTTAATTTAATTCTAAAATTATTTAAATAATCAACAATGCATAGAAAAACTTGTAAGAAAGGTTTGTTCAAATTTTAAATTTGATTATTTAAATCATTGTTTTATAAAAAGACTACGTGTAAAGAAACAAAAGGAATTGATTAAAATGATTTTAGTAATATTGATATTAGAAAGATACTAAAGTATTACTATCCGTGATAAGTAGTAGTACTGTATAACTTTAAGATACACAATAATTATTAAGTATTTATCAGGCATTTACAACTACCCGCTACCATTACACATTTAACCATTCTGAAGACTGTAATTAAAAGATTTAAGCGAACAAGCAGAAAACAGGTTTATTACAAAGGAAAAGTTATACGATAATAATCTCTCGGAAGGTTGATGGAAAAAAAGAGTAAACAAGACAAAAAATATTAACACGTGATTAATAGCACAAATGGTTGTTAATAGTAGTAGTAGATGGTAACCAATTTGGCTGTCTTATGCAAATATTATTTACTGCATTACTACTACCACTACTTCTACCTATTACCTATTAATAATAGGTAAGGTGTTAGTGAGAAGTTATAAATATGAGGATTAAAATTTCACTTTTTATGACAAATTATTTTTGTTGTTGAAAATAACTAAGTTAACTGTATTAAGTTAATCAATAGTTATCATAATTCATCATCATCATAAATTAAAAAATATAAGATATAAAATCATAAAACCATTGTAAAATAAATTATCATAAATTATAAATTATCATCAAATTTGTTGATTTTTTTTTAATGGAAGCTTTTATTTTGAATTTCAGTAGCATTTTAGAAGATTCGAAATATTTTATTGAAGATACGATAGTAAACTAACAGATTTATAACAACTTCTTAAAAAATTAATACAATCAACAAATTTTATCGATTTTTTAAATTAATAAAATCAATAAAAATATGATATTTAATTTGTCAAAAAAAAAACAATCAGACAAGAATGCTGTAAATAAATAGAAGAAATATCAAAAACTATGTAAAAATTTCCTGATAAAAAAGTGATAATACTTTGAAGACAATAATAGTATATTTATTGATATCTTAGTTACGGAAAAGATTCACCGAATATGTTTGAAAATAATTTATTGATTCATTTAATGATATAAGATAATAAAAATCTTCCGGAACTATCTTGCAAAATAAACCGTAAAATTAATTCGAATAATTTATAAAATACACGATAAAGAAATTCTAAGTCTTATGAACGCTTAATAAAATTATTTATCCTATCTCTAAATTTTCAAATCTAATTGAAAGACGTAAAAACTAACGAATCAAATATTCGTTCAATCATATCATTTGATGATTGCATTAGAAAAGATAAACCGTTCTGTTTGTCTTAATTAATTTATCAATCATTTTATCGCACACATATATTATCATATAAATTTTGCAAACTATCATTTTGAAAATGAAAAAATTCTTTTTTTTCAACTTGTCATTTTCTGCGTTTCTTTTTTCACATCACTTCCGAATTTCACACTTTTTCATAAATGTCCACATTTGTTGTAACACCTCTCTAAAATTTTTCTCATTAATAGATCCATTTTACCTTTGCATTTCTTCCACCTCTCATACTTCCATAAATATCCATTATACAAACCATTCATTCCTAAATATTACCACACTGTATCTACCTATCTCCTATTAACAATAACAACAAAAATTTCATATTTTCCGGTAATTCTTTCCTTTAAAACCGGTTCTTTTTTGCTTCTACTTATGAGCTGAGAAATTCCACTAAACAATTCCATTCGTCGTTGCTCAGTGCCTCTTCGTTATATGAAGAATAAAGATGAAGAAATGGAAGTAACGAATGGATGATACATACGTTTGATTTCTATTTTCGAATCCGATCAAACCAATCCGAATGAAATTATTTTCATGCAAAAATCAAAACAAAAGAAAAAAGAGGAAAATTTGAGAAAGATTTGTATAAAATTTACCGATAAAGTTTTATTTAATCATTCACTAATTTGCGAAAAGAAACAAACGAACGAACAAAAAAGATGAAAAAAGACTAATAAATCTTAAGAATTCACAAAATCACATTCTGATGACCTGCAATATTTCACTTCCAGTGGTTTTCTTGCCGACCTCCCAATTTAACTAAATTTTCAATTAAATGCAATTAAATGTTAAAACAAATAAAGTTATAATTTGTTGTTCGAAAAACAATACAATTATTTTGATAATATGTAAAATTAGGACTGCTTAATTCGACGATATACGACGATATACAGGATCAGTGATAATTAAACGAATACGAAATCGGCGATAATTAAACAAATTATAACTTTATTTGTTTTAAATTATGCAGAATCAATGATAATTAAGATGATTTCAAATTTTCTGGAAATTAATAAAATTCCATCTTTTTGGAAATTAATAAATTCCATCTTTCTTTAATTGTATTCATACAATGATATTACCATTACATGAATATAATTAAAATAAAGTGAAAAATATAAAACAATTACAGTGAAAAATATAAAACAATAACACGGTACTAATTCTGTTTACAAGCTCATTTAATTATAATAGAAATTTCAATGAAAATAATTACGTAAAAATAAATGGAGCAAATATAAAATGTGAAATAAAATGAAAGATGAAATCATTTCAGGTTAACGTAGTACCAATTCAAAAAACAATTTTTATAACAAATAGGTCACTTTACTACGAATGTAGCAATGTCCCACTCAATCACTCACTGATTGGAAATTCCCATCGAAGTAATATCCTTCCTTTACTTGCAGTATTTTTCCTTGCAATGCAAGCTCATCGTATTTGATTTTGCTTAACTTTTTTTTCCAAAGTTATAAAAATTACATCAAATTTAAATTTACATTAAAATCGATATAAGTAAAGAAATTTGATAAAAAAAAGTAATATCCGTTGCTTTAATTTAATTTAAGGAATATTTGTTAGAATAGCCTAAGCTATAATATTTTCTGTGCCAGAAAATCCCAATTCTGTTTTAATAAATCGATAAAGTTTAAGCGATACCATCAACAAAAATGAATAAAATTCTTGAAAATAGAAACAGGTCGGAATAATTAGCCAAATAATTAATTAGATAAGTCATACTGTTTATATTATTGAATTCTTTAGCAAATGCTGTCATCAAAAATATATTTGCAAATATTTTATTTCTTATCTTTTTTTTAAAAACCTTCAATGTTCCAAGTGATTTGATGTGTTTTTCAACGATGATAACAATTATCAGCATATGTTATAGCAGTTAATTGGTGGTAAAATTATCAACGATGCAACTGTTTCGTTCAAAGCCTGCTTAACTATCGGATATGCTTGCCATTGATGGTAAAGAACCAGTAGTTGTATCTTTTAGCTATAGTTGTATCAAACGACATTTCTTGTTATCATTGGTATCATTGGTTGAGTATGCAAGATAATGATTTCGCTATCAATGCTCTAGTTAATAAATGATTCTTATCATTGTTGTTTGTATTATCATTTTTGATAAGTCAAAATTACAAATTTTGACCAAACTTGACAAGAATAAACATAGATATAGCGATACAATTTTACATTTATGATTGTTTCGAAATTATTCGAATCTATATTCCGGAACAGAAAATCTACCTGTGTATAAAAGATACGCCTGATTCCACTAAACAAAGATAACTCGTTAAGCAAGTCTTTTCTCTGGTAATATTATATTTAAAAGCAATAGCATAGTTCAGCTTTCAGGATCTTTAACAAATGGCCTGTAATTTCGACAATTGAAAAAAATTATGCAATTTTCTTATTATGCTGACCTTTTCAACCTTTTAAAGTTTTTTGGCTTTTTGTATATCATGCAAATTTAATTACCTATAACCGATATATGTTCCATATTTAAGCCATTGCGCACCAATTTTTTAAACAGAAAATTTGATATGATACCTGTTTTCCTGATGGTTTTACATCACGATCTACAGCAGAAGAAAATCATTTAAATTTTCTCCCTTTCATCTTTTGCTTTCAATCTGGTAACAATGAAAAGATAAAATTATGATGAAATACAAATTAAAAAGCGGTTATCAGAAAGATTACTGTAATTTCGAAGATGAACAACTTACAGGTTAATTTGTTCCGATAAATTGATATCCAATGACAATAATGAGGATGATAAATTTGTCTGATTGATACATCTGAATGCGTAATAAATGAATTTTTATAGTTTATAAAAATCCTCCTCCTATTCTAACTTTTATTCCAGTATTTGGAATGATACACTTAATGGAAATCAATTTTCATCGATTTTTGGATCGATAATGACTTTTAAATTGATTTTTTAAAATTAGCTATGTTGCTTTTCCTTTAAATTCCAAACTTAATTGCATTTTTCATCGATTGCAATGAAACAAAAATAAATTAATTGCAATGAAACAAAAACAATAGAAGTTAAGTAGCTCATTTCAAATTTATACATACTTTTCCTCACACTCTTGCTGTATCATGATATATTTATCCGTATAGCGGAAACCTCTACAGGTACTTTTCACAGAATTGATTAGACATTGATTGACACCAACGTCTGCAATCCAACGGCTCGGAACATTCGTCTTAAATTAATATCAGATATTTGAATTGAATTTTTTTTCCGATTTAATTGTATTTTTGCTTGAATTTACTGCTATAAAAACTGTACAGTCGAGACCAGAAAGTATAATCAAACAATAATTCTTCCGAAACTTTATTTTCGAATTCACACTTTCATTTCAAACTTATACTAATCTTCATTTGAAACTCATACTTTTCCTCACACCGAATATTCGTTGAATGAACTACAGTTTGTTTTAAGATCAACAATTAACGAAGTATCTTTGAGGTTAATCGATGATAATCTAACTTATCAATTATATATTAATCCTCTCAGTGGTAAGTTATTATTCAGAAAAAAATTATCAGTTGAATATTTGCAACTGGTGTTGAAATTTCAAAATTCAAAGAAAACAATAATTTCGAACGAATTAACTTCGTTGGTATTTTGCAACTTTGTTGATATATTTCAAACGTATCAAAACAATTCTCATTATCATCATTGCAGTCACCCAACGTGGTACACATAGTACTTAAAAATAGAATTACTGATTTTTATTTCATTAAGTACCTTTGATCAAATTATACAACCATTGGTAGCTTAATTGATTACAATGATTCCATTCCGGATAAGCAATACCAAAATTTATTGAATTTGAAATTCTAAATTAGAAGAGGAACAATTGAAGAAATAATTTTCCGTTTTTATTAGAAGCTATTCTTTAAAAAATTATACGTTAACACGTGAATATTTTACGTGAATATTTCAATTACTGATTTTTAATACAGTAATTGATTCAAAGCAAAGTGAAAAATAAAAAATTGATGCAAATTTTGTCATGGAACTTTCATGATATGAATCATACGCAAAAAAAACCACAGATAGAGATAAACCGATACTAGAAAATCTTTAAATTAATCAATAGATCTTTAAGCTATGGATATCTTTCAACAACGATTAAATCGCTAAAACTGAAAATTAAATTTTATTCGTTATTCATTGGAATATGTTGGCAAACAGTTTCGCAAGTAGGCAAATCATAAAAACGATTTTCATTACCAGCACATCCGGAATACCAAAACCGCTCACAGCGTTCTAGAATTTATTTCAATAATTAAATCTTTGAAATTAATAGGAAGGTAAGAATTTAAGAGGCCTATAATTGGAAGACCTTTTCAAAAATTCGTGTTGTATTGATTAACTGAAAAGTTTTGATGATCCAATGAAAAGTAAAATTGTGGCAGTAGAGAAATGTCATCGCTTAGATAATCAATGAATTCAAACTTATTGATTGTTAGAAAGATCAAATAGAAAAACGAGATGCGAAAATTCGAGATTATTTATATATAGATGTATTATAAATACCATTCTTCTGATTATAATAATATCGCATTCCAGCTTTTTCCGCACATTCTTTTCCTTCAAATCGTTCGCCACCATCAAGCGGTAAAAGACAATTCATTTCCATATTATTTCTTAATTCTGAAGAAAAGATTCTGAATAAGAGAATGATAAGTGTGATACTTGTATCGGCTAGTTTTGAATCAAATTCACCGCATTCTGATGTTTCTGCAAGTGTTTAATGATAAATAAAAAATTCGTTCTCTACCAATATTATTTGTAAATCAATATCTTCGTGTATTTAATTAGATCGATCTGTTTGATTTATAATTCTTACCTGATAAAATAGGTACAAACTGATTGAAATGATACATTGCAACATCATCATCTTTCTTTACTGCTCTCGGATAAACTTTCCGAAGAGAACGGGGAGGATCAGCACTCAATATATGAAAATCAAAATTGCTGATATTATCATTTGCTGGAGCATTATTAACGTACGTCTGGATCACACGTATTCGGGAAAGGTCACTAGTAGGATTTGAATTAGCTGAAATTTCAGTGAATGAATAGAAATTTTTTTCACAAACTACTATTCCAATTCATTTGATCCGAAACGTATATTTGCATACAAATCCTTTACTTTCTCTGCTATTATGAGTTATATCAGAAGACGAGCAGATATCAATAATAAATTTGAACTAAAATTAGATCACGTAATCCTACTGAATTCTTTAATACCGATATATTGAATAGCGATCGCATTAATTATGGAATAATATCCATTACCAAAAACTGATAATCACAAAGATTAGTTGAAAATTTTTACAATTAAATGAATTAAAATTTTTTCGCTTCTAAGACAAAAAAATAATTTATAGAATTAACCATCAAAAATATTTTTCATTCGTATCAATTTTCGATGGCCATTTGATCTCATTGAATTGTATGATTGTGAAAACATTGCCGAAATTTGTCCAATACGACGTGTACCTGTTTGTTGTGGTCGTGTCTGAAAATAGATAAACTGTTATATTATTTAATAAAAGAATTAATGAATTAATTATGTTATTTTAAGAATGAAAAGAAAAACTGAAATTAAGAAGTTCGTATTTTTTTTAAAGAACTATTAGCTAGAATTGTTCCTTCAACAATTTCAAAATTCGATTTTCATGATGAGATGTTGACCTCAAAAAAAGAAATTCAAAACATTGAATATTAAATTTTATTTACAATGAGAGCTATTAATTGTTTTATTTTAATCAAAATTTTATTGATAGATTAAAAATATGATCGGTTGATAATTGAAAATAGATATAATCAAGATATAACGACAATTACAGTTTGTTCGGTCTGTTCGCATAATCTCTTGCAAGCGCCGCGATGATAAAATATATTGGTAACTTTAAGAGTTTTCGAGCATGAAGCATCATACCAAAACATTTCACATTTTGAACTTGTTTGATTATAGAAAAATCGTGGACGCCAATCGAATGTTTTACAACCACTGTATAGATTCTTGTTAAATTTTAAAAAACATTCTGCAAAAAATATATTCATATATTAGATTCGATCATGGTAAATATTGGGGAAGATGAAGAAATTAAAATGTATCGCAAAAGATATCTAACATTTATTTAGCTTCGTTTTTTTTTGCGAAATGCGTAATTCGTAATGTTCTGAAGCATAGCAGAATATGATATTAAATTTAATAGTTTAATTAAATTAATTAAAATTTTTAATTTAATACTTATAAATTTAGCAGGAAATGATAATCTGATATGATAGAAAGAAATTTCCGTATTACAGAAAATTTTTTCGGTATTTAATTATTGAAAATGAAAATACAAATAGTTCACGAGATAGAATTAGTATAAATGAATAAATAAGTGACAATATTTATAATTACTTTTTCTTAAGATTCCATTTTTCGGCTTCTTCTTTAATTTGTGCTGTTTTTTCCGCACGCACTGTAATTTACATTCCTGAAAACAATCATTCGTAGAAAAAGTAATGATAATGGATATTTGGAAGATTAAATTTATTTCTCTTTTTTACAATTGAAATGCAGTTCAATTTATTTTAGAATTTGAAATGAATTTTGGAAATAATAAAATTAGACCTGCTCACTAGCAAATATATTTTGATTCTTTTCGGATCCATTACAATTACCATACCAAAAGCTTCGACATCGATTTTCATCAATGTCATAAAAATAACGTATTATCCAAGCTCGTGCAGTTAACGTAGTCTGACGGCATAGCGGATCAAATCGTTGATTGCAAATGGCTGATATTTACCCAAAAATTGTTATTTGAAATATTTGATTTGCAAAAGTTATGGTATTTTTCGAAATTTTTCAAAAGGTATTGCAATTGTTTGAATTAAACTAATTTAAACTTTTAATTTAATACTCAGAACTTACTTATCTTACTTTAATATTTACTTTAATACTTACTTATAAGTCGTGCGTAATATTAAGCCTGAGCTTTGTAATTATAAGTGTTTGCTAATTTCAACTACAATGCAAAAAGAAATGTGAAATTAAAAGAAATGACTGGAGGAAGGTTGTTTCACGTGAAATTTCAGCTTTCTACTACATTTTGCATGACATTGTCGTCGACTCAAAAAACGATTTTCATTTCCATTGCAACCGCTAAAAATTATATTTATCAATTTAAAGCTTACTTATAATATTTAAGTATAAAAGATCTTTTAAAATAAATTCAGGGACATAGACTAAATTATACAATCGATGATTTGTTGCATCGATGTCGACAGAAATTTGAAATCTTTCAGTTTCTCTTAAAATCCTACAAACCACAAAATTAAGCTATCAAGCTATTCACAGCGATCAGATGTAGAGCATTTTTCAAATTAACAATTTTCATCAAATTATATCTTATCTAGTCTGTTATCAATAAAGCTAAAATCTGACTTTCAAATATTTTGAATATAAAAAATTGATTTAAATATACGTATCCATTATTAAACAGAGTGATAAAATTTGAAAGAATATAACAGAGTGTTTATTTTTGAATTTTAATTTCAACAACTGCAATTTCTAACATTGTAGTCTGTGATGTCTGTTAATGTGAACAAATTACAGATCAAAAAAATACCTGTAAATAAATCTTCGACATTCATGGTCACGGTTACTGTAATAAAAGAGTGGAATTCTTTGTGAACAGTTACCACGTTGAAGAGGTTGCTGCAATGAAATTTTAAAAGTTTAGAAATAACAAACTGATTTACATCTTTATATACTTTTATAAACATTAATGATTGTGGAAGTTAAAATCGAAAAGTTTCAGAATTTCATTCTTATGAATCATTTTTTCCATTCCAGTAATTGTAATTTAAAAAATTTTATAGCATTAAAATATAAATGTGAGTGTTTCAATTTCATTTCATCCTTCTCTTTTGATTATCTTCCAAATACAGTTCACATTTTTGAACGGTATGATGTAGTTACGATACCATATATTCCCGAAAACCGGAATCAAATTGCAAAATAAAAAAGCAACAAGTAATAGAAAATTCGCTGTTGAAAAAATGAAGAAAAACATTGTTAGAGTTTCTATGGATATCGATTAAGAATTTAAATGATACTAAACTAAGAAATGCAAATTTGTATTACCTGACATGGATGACTTTTGACATTTGATAGTGTAGCTACTAATTTAATTATAGTATTGCTCGTGGATATTGCTAATTTATTAGAAGTTGGGAAAAATATGATCAATAGAAGAGCATATGTCGTATCCATTTGTTTTTGAAATACTAAATGATTCACTTACTCAACACTATCATTATATTATTGCATAAAATGTAAACATTGATTTCGATTGAGATCTAAATTTCCGCTTGAAAGTATCCATCATTCTATGATTATTCATAAAGCTTTAAAGTCTCTCACAATTTCATATTCAACTCTTTCCGTTCTTTCGACAAACTAACTGGCGAAAAAGATCACAATAACCGATTCACAATTCAAAACAAAGAAGTAAAAACAGACGTCCAATTAAATTAATCATTAAGTCGCTAAGCAAATAACAAAAGAAAATGTTGTTTTAAATTTGATAAATTCAAAGTATTTAAATTAATATGATCAAATTCATTGGAAGCATTTAGAATTTATTGAAATTATATTAATTTCTAAATATTGAAAGTTGAAATTATTAAATTTAGACGATCATTGAATGCCTTTCGCATAGATTTTTTGGCTATTTACGTATGAATATATAAATAATTCGAATCATTTACAGGTGACCACCAAGAATTGATAGTACTTAATTTTAGTCATTTACAGGTGACCACCAAGAATTGATAGTATTTAATTTTAGTCATTTACACGTGACCACCAAGTACAAGTGACCACCAAGAATTGATAGAATTGTTTAAAGTGAAGAAATAAATGACAAATGGAATTTGCAATAATATTTTAAGTGAATAGTGTTGTTGTGAAATTTCATAGAGAAAATTCACACTTTGACCAATTGATTTATTACTACTGAAAGTAATACTTTTAAATAATTCAATTCATTGAAAAATATTACTTGCATATAAATGGTATACTCTTTCGTAAATTTAATTGATCTGTGAAGATATGCTCATATATTTTATTAATTTAGGTAAATTAGCAAATGTCCGAAAAGAAATGTAAGAGAGAATTTTTAAGTAAAGCTGATCAAGTTTCCAAAAGCATTTAAATCTGACAGCTTAGTAAAGATTAAAGTGAAGAAAGGGAATTAAAGAGTATTTGAAATTTTACATTGAAACTTATCTAAATTAATAATCCGGAATAATGTAAAACTTAAAGATAAGGAATTGTTTCAAATAATTCAATTTTAACCAAATTATTTTTTTAACGAGTAAATTCATTTAATACATTTAGAGAAGAAAACATGAATCGTTAAATCGAAGCGAATGTTTGCATGAATCGTCAAACCGTAAATTCATTAAATGCATTTACGGAAGAATGTATGAATTATCAAACCGAAGCGACCATTTTAAGTAACGAATTAAAAAATATACGGCCAAAGTGTGCAGAATACTTATACTATGACTAATATATTGTTTTGAAAACAAGAAATTAAATTTAATATGTTGTAAAATTTATGAACATTGATAACGTTTTGATAACGAATATGTATTTTGATTTCATTTATACAAAAGAGAAATATTAATGATTAAACTGTCTGATAGTGCAAAATGTTGTTATCAAAGATGAATGCTTCGTTTAGAAAAATTTCAAATGCAAAAAAACAAAATTGAAATCGTTTCATCTTATTGGCAGTCATAATGCAAAAAATGATTTACAACAGCAATTGTTAAAAATTTTCTTAGAATACGAAAAAAGCTAACAAAAAATTTTTTGCAAGAAATCATTGTTCCTGCTTAAATTTTGTAATAATTAATTAAGAGAAAAACAATATCATAATTAATCCTATCATTAATTTTAATTCATAGTAAATATGTATGTGTGAAATTTGAAACAATCAAACTAAACTATGCCATTAATTGAATAATCAAATAGAGTTAATTTAAAAGAAGCGAAAAAGTTTTTGAAAATTTTTTAATTACTGAAATGAAATTAATTAGAAACAAAAGTATTATTTTTGTTTAATTTTTTTGCAACATATAAAATTAATTTTTTATTTTTAAATTTAAAATATTTCAGTTATTGTTAGCTCATTTGCGTAAAAGTCATTCCCGAGATTTCTCAAATAATGAGCACTTAAAGCTTTCATTTCAAAATGTTGCAATATTAATTTAACAAACAAATTTATTTTTAGCACAGACAAATTATCGGACAACTTTTTTGTTTTGTTTTGTTTTTAAAGCCAAACAATAATGACAACAATTGATGACAGCTGTGTTATTGCACAACAAATATTTGCATTGTTATAACTTCCTTTCATAATGCAACAACTAAACTCTGCAATCCTTATAATTTTAATTCTTAAAATATATTAAATTTTGCAACTGTTAACTATGAACAAAAATTATCGCTGACCTAATTATTTGTAAACTATCGCTAGCCTAATTAATTGTAAATTATCGCCAGCCTAATTAATTATGAATTATCGCTAGCCTAATTATCGCCTATTATATTTATATATATTAAAAAAAATTCTTCAAAATATGAAATTTGAAATAATTTGAAGAAAATTCAAAAGAATTTCTTTTCTTTACTCCAAAATAATTATTACATAACAATTAAAAACTGGCTCCTTTCGATATGAATTACAATTTACAATTTCCAATTAACAATTAACAATTCAGGTTGAAATAGCAAAATGAATTTCATTTTCAAATGATTGACAGAAAACAAGAAATACTTTCTATCTGTAGAAAATGCTTCCATTTTAGTAAAATAAAATTTAAAAGAGACAATTGGACGAGCGACCAATTTTGTTAATTCTCTATCGATCATAGCGATATTCCCATGATATTTTTGTTAGAGCAATAAAAGGACATTTTAAATAATTGCTCTTTGCAACAGAGAAAAAATTCACAAAATAAAATCTAATTTTTGAAAAGCCTATCTTTGTATGAGTATATGATATAAGGATATACATATACCCACGAGAACACTAAACCATTTATTATCAGAGAATTTACAACAACAAAGAGAGATTTGTCATTTTAAAGTTTATTTCAATTTCCTTTGAAGTCCATTTTTAAATTTTTAAGTTCATTTTAATTTTTCTTTAAATTTCATTTTAGTAAACTCTAAGATTGTATTAGACACTCTTTGTATTAAATTTTTTATTATATTAAATATATTAAATTATATTAAACACTTTCATTTGATATTTGCAAGTTGTGAGATTTTGATATTGCAAATTGTCTGTTACAACTATAATGCATTTCGACAAATAATTCCAATTTATGAAGAAAAGCTTCGTAGCATAAGAAAATATATTTAAATTAATTATTAGTTTTATTATAAGTTTTAATAATAATCATTTATTAATAGTTGTTTTATTTTTTTTTGAAATAGAATTTCTCAATAATATTTATTATTATAATTAACCAAACTTGTGAAAATTAAATTCAGTAAAGAAAATGAAAGAAAACGAAATTGTCAATTCTAAAAATGGACCGATAATTAGATTTAACAAAAGTGGAAATAAAAAATAACTAATTGAAATTTGCACGGATATGATTTTGTAAAATGAAATAGGAAGAGGAAAAAGGAATGAGGAAGAGGAGAAATTTGAAATTCATAAATTAAATATGAGGAATTTTTGTATTAACAACAAATTTACTGCTATATGAAAATTTTTGAAAGCAAAGAAGGAAAAAAGATAAAAATTTGCACATAAGCATTAAAACCGGAAAGAGCATCCGGTCAATTCGAAATAACACAACACAACACAAAATCGACGAAAGACAAATCAACAGTGTTCCGAAATGAAATGAAAGAGATATTTATTATTCGACCAATGGAATGGAATGAAAATTTGTAATTAGAATATTTAAATTAAAAAATTAAGAATTTTTGTGGAAAAGTGTTGAAAAAAGTGGGAGGATATTTTTGTTGAATGGAAAAGAAATAAATAGAAGTGCAAAAAAAATCATTTTCCTAATACAAGTTGATTATTTCATTTTTCTTTTCTTCACAAATCTTTTACATTTGCAAAAAATTCGACGCGCTGATCGTTGTAGAGATTAGTGAGAGGATGAAATTCTTCCTCCTCTTCTTCCACCCATTCTATTCATTTTTCATTTTGCATGAGAAATGATTGAATTTAAGTTGACAATCTTTAAGATAATGAATGATAAAAAAGAGCAATAATTGCTAATATAGCTAGAAATTATTATTGATTCCAACAAGGGAAGCTAATAGTGATCGGAAAATATGAATATTATATGTATCCTTCATTTTTAATCAATTAAAAGATTTGATAAGTTAAAAAATGATGATAGTTTTGATTAGACAATCAGATTTTGTAATTAAATTACATTAATTATATAAAATTTAATTACAAATGCAATGTAAGTTATATATCAGAATGAAGTAATTGTTATTTAGGAATTAGCCAAGAATGAATTTTTTCTGAATTATAAATATGTATGACAGACGGCATATCAACGTTTCTGAGAATAATTCCTTCTGAAGATAATTCCGATGCAACTCTTTTATTAACTGATTAAACTGATTTATCAACTGATCAACTGATTTATCAACTGATTAAACAGCTACGAAGAAAATCATTGATTGATGAAAAGTGCTAATATTAAATAATAAATGAAATATTTACATGAATTATTAATAAATTAAAAAAGCGTTTTTTATAAGATGTCCTGTTTGTAGTAGGAAATTTCTAAAATATTGCAAAGCGATTTCTCCAGAAGAAACTAGAATGTTCCATGAAAACGCTTTCATTTTTTCGATATTATTCCGGTTTGCATCCTTGATTTTTGTAATTAGTTGCAAGCAGACGCTACTATTCATTATCAAAGTAATTTGTTTTGCATGTTGCATGCTATCAGCTTCATCCAAATTTAATAACAAAGTTTGATAATAATAATGAAATGATGCATATCGTCAAAATCATTGTTTGAGCTTGAATTGCAATCCTAATTGTCCGCAAATTACTTCACATCATTCAGATGATCAAAATTAGCCGCGAAGATAATTTGCATAATACCTGAACAGGTATCTACCTGCTCAAATCCATTCATTTTGATCAACCGCTTTTTTTTTAATCTCATATCATCATATAAGTGTGTATCGTCGTAAAAATTATTAAAACACTTTATGATAATATATGATATAATCAGCAATAATTTTATATCTCCTTAAAATATCATTAAATTTCAATTAATTAAAAATGAATACAACGAATACTACCAAAGATTATTACATAATTTGCATATCAAAAATAATCTATGTTTTATCACAATTAATAAATTATATTTGTTCAGCAATGAGTAATAGAAATTTGAAATTATTTTTTCGACGAGAATACTACGAAAAGAATTGAAGTTATTTACGTATTTCTAGTAAAATTCAAAAAGAATCAAATAAATGATACATTTGAAAACGCCCACTTATCATATCATATTGTTTCACAAATTATAATTGATAAATAAGCTAATAAATAAACTTTGTTTTATTAATAATTACTAAAAAATATTCTACACCTGTCATACCTAAATATGAAACATAAATTTATTATTTATATTCGTTTTTTTGGAATAAAAAAGAGAGAGAGAGAGAAGCTGGTGTAATTCAAGAATTAATTAAAATGAAATCTTACGGTATTATTATGCAAAATAATGATTCTATCGAGATCATTACTCAAAATGAACGATTAAATTTTATGAAATTTTTTAAATTAAATTATCTGTTCTATTTAAATTATTTAAATCATTAAATTATCTATTCTTTATCTATTTTAATAGTTAAATTATCTAATTGAAATTAAATTATTTATTTTTTAATTAATTTATTTACTTGAAATTAAATTATCTATTTTAATAATTAAATTATCTGCTTGAAATTAAATTATCTATTTTTTAATTAACTTATCTACTTTAAATTAAATTATCTATTTTTTTAATTAATTTATCTACTTTAAATTAAATTATCTATTTTCCCTTTTGTATTAGAATGAAAAAAGTTTTTCTTTTTCGCCATAATGATATAAAATATCACCCGAAAATGTTATATGAGGGAAAAAGAGAATGGTATTGTTGCTTCTATGAATTAATGAGTGTTGTAATGATAAAATAATACTTAATGATAAAATTAAATCCTATCAAAATTATTCCTTAATAAAATCATATTTTACTGCTTCTATTCCCCATCTTTAACTTAACATTCATTAATGGCCATTGGGTCCATCACCAGATCCATCAGTGCGAAAATTTGCCGCTCCGTTAAGTAATGCCGTAGCCGCAATGTACTGCTGCAAATTGACAGGCTGAACGTTAGATGATTGTGCTATTCCATCTCCAATCGATGCTCCATTACCGCTAACTGTTGGCGCAAGTCTAGAAGAAATTGAAAAAAAGAAAATCTCAAAAAATATGGAAAATTTCGGGGAGGATAAATATAATCGCAAAGATCATTCATAGCTTCCCTTCTTCTTTGAGGTGAAAGATATAAGAGACTTGGATGAATCACAAAAATTAGAATTTAATGAAAATAGATGTAATTGCAGATAGATTAACCATATAGATATAAAATTCAAAGCTTTGAAATATATCCTTGATAAATAGTTCCTCTTTCAAACCATTTTTTAGTAAGGAATCGATGAAGAGCGAATAGTAGAATTGCCTTTTTCCGCACTAGCGATACGTTAAACAGTAAAATGCGACGTTTAGGCCTAATAATAATAGTAAAGATAAATAAGGCTCACCCATTCATTACTTGATTATAATATTCTCTGGCCAATGTATTGGAAGAATTATCATAGACTCCGAACATTGATGAATTAATCGCTGGATTCCACATATACTGCATAGTGAACGGATCCATAAGCGGAGTACCGATTCCATAGGAACGAGGATATTGCGCCGCAGCAGCTGCTGTTGCCGTCGCTTGATTGCCAGGAACGCTACATAGCAGAGAATCTATTTAATCCTATTACATGACTGTAAGAATCTTCTACAGTAGGTAAGATTCTAATTCACGGAATTTTCTCCGAATGATGGTAGCAAATTCTTCGCCGAATAATTTGATAATGCAAAATTTCTCATTTCTTTAGCCTTGATTACATTGCTTTTGTTATGCATAAAATTTACCCCGAAGTTGCTCTGCCGAATCGTTTACCATAGCAATCAGCAACCTCAAAAGCATCCATATCAAATCCCAACGATGCAAGCGCTTGACGCGTATTCATCGTATATGCATTGTACGGATATTGTTGCGCAAAGTTGAATGGCAAATTTAAACCCGGTCTGTTCATTGGAAAAGAATACATATTGATTAATTTAACTGTCAATTCTTTTTCCTCGCCCATTTTCAACGATCACGAAGTTATTTTCATGTTTTCTTTCTTTTTCAATTTTTCTCTTACAAACGATGGGAAATACTTCATTGATTAATGTGCGAATTTTTGTAAGGAAAAATTAATCTGTGTAAAGTGGAGATAAAGAGAAAGTTTCAAATTTAGAATATATCAAATTGAAAAATGATTTTAATTTTAAAAAGTTCACTTTCTTGTCAACATTGAAATTAACAATTTCTTTCCTGTTTTCTTTTAGCAAAAAAATTAGAAATGGCAAAAATTTTAGCTTTAATTTTGAAAAATAGAAAATGAATTTAATTATACTTAATTACACTACACTAATTAATTAAAACTTTAATTTAAAAAAGTTGAATTATAAAAAATTTCGAACTATTTAAAATAATCCTACCTGGGATCATAGAATGTAGAACGTCTATCACCCTAAAATATGACCGTTTATTAATTATTATTAAGTTAAAAATTTACATCATTTAAATGAATAATTAGAAAAAGTGTTGATTTTAATTAAATGATTTAATGATAAATAAAGTTTTTAAAAAAGAATAAAATTATTTTATTGATCTTTTAAGTGCTTTTTAATGATTTAAAAAGGTATGACAGTAAAAAGGTATTATGATATAGTATTATGACATCTTATTGATTTCTTACAGATTTACTAAGCCAATGAAGTAATTGCTTATCTATTGAATCATTAACAATTTTTGATTTATCAACCTCATTGCTTCCATTTGCAAATATCGGAAGATTGTTCATTCCGCGGACTGCATTCTCCATTCCATTTTGGCCAAAATTGATTGCTGGCAGTAGCGAACGATTACCTGAATTTTATAATCTTAATTAATAGATAGGTAAAAAAATTGAAAATGAAATAAAGTAGTACAAAGAAGTATTCTAGCATGATTGCAAGTTAAATTCTTTCTTTCTTCAACATTATAGGATAATTTTGACACTCAACAGGTACCAGTTTGTTTGCAATTATTGTTCTTTATAATAACTTAAAAATAAAATTAATTAATTTTATATAATTTTACATTGGCTTAAACTAAAGGTAGCTTACAGTATCGGCAAAGTTAATAATTAATTAATTAATTATGCGGAAAACATTTACGAAGCGCTAGTCGGGAAGCAATAGTTGGTCGATAGGTACCATTAATGATCGATAATTCCATTAATTGCTTACGTTTTAGCTCATCTTCACCTTCTGGCTAAAAAAAGGAAAAAGATAAAGATTTAAAATATATTTCGGTTCATTCATATCGCTTTCAGAAATTTCAATATTTATTATTATTATCATCGCTAGGGTAAATTTAATGGTTTCTAAAATCTACAGTATTATTTCCTATTCAGATTATACTTTTAGAAACCGTTTTAGAAAGATTTTTCTTTCCGTTTTAAATTTTGAAGCAAATAACTTAATGATTTAAATGCTATCATTTGCAGACATATTTAAAAGCAAACATATTGGATAATGAAAACAAAGGAAATTAATGAAAGTACCGGTGGAATAAGCATATAACGGATACATTCAACAGCTCGTTTTATTTTTTCCTTTGCTCTTTCTTCGAAATCTTCGCATTGCACTAATATATGCAATTCTTCCTTCATATTATCATTGTAGATAGTTTGACGACTTGAGCTGCCCTTAAATTATAGAGAAGTTTTACTTATATGTAAATTTTTCTCTCACATACTTTTGCTTCTAAACTTTTCAAATATTATTTATGCTTGAGAAAGATTTGTATCTTGAAAATTTTGATAAAATAATTTTATTCATTGAATCTGTAGAAAATCAATGGAAAAATATAAAGGAAAAATAATAACCTCACGGGTCGATCCACGTCCACGAATCATAATACGACAACCAGATTCCTCCTCAAGTTGTTTTGCTGTCATTCCGCGTGGACCAAGAATACGCCCAACAAAATTGTACTGTAGAAATAAAATAATCAGTTGAATAATTTGTTTAAAAGTTCAAATTTAAAATTTCATAATTTCGATGATTTAAAAAAAAATCATATTCACAGTGTTTTGAATATTGAAAATTGCTACATTTCTTAAATCATTTTATTAAAGTTTTTTCACAGTTTAGTAGTTGACAGATACTAAAAGAAAACAAACATTAGGATATTCGTTCACTGGAACGAATATTTTCTCTTGCAGGAAAACTTTTTTTCCACTTGCTGCTTGTAATGGTTTATCAGTGGTTGCTTCTTGATGTATTTGTACTTCTGATGCTGTTGTTGTTTCCGCTCTATCTGTTCTTTCTTCATTTATCTCCGTCATTCGTTCCATACTTTCACGAATTTTAGCAATCTCTGCATCATCAAATTTAATTCAAAATTTATCAACTAACCAAAAATTAAATCTACAGGAAATATAAATTCAAATAAACTATCGCTATTGTGTTAGATGCTGAAATCGATTTACCTTCATCAACGAGACGAACAGCATGCTTAAATTGGAAAGTGTTTGGAAGTGCTCTCAAATTTTCTTTTTCCTTAAGAAGTCGTGCCATATATTCCGCTTTTGCCTGCATAATTCAGCCTCTTCATTTTTTAATTTCATTTCAATTTTAATTTGAAACTTTTTGTTTTACTGAATTTCATTATCAAAAAAAGCGGTTTATTGTTTGAATCTAATTAATTAAATTAATTTCCTAGGAAACTTATTGAATCAAACACGAACTTCTCGAGTTAAATATGTTCGAGAACCATGAAAAAGATGGAACTTCAATGGTATCTTATTGATGCTACAAGAATCTTTGTTAATATGTTTTCCTCCATCATTGTTATCGACAATTGAAATTGTTGATTTTTTCTTATTTTTTGCATCATCAACAGTAGTTGATTCCGTTGTTTCGAGATTGTTTGAATTAACTGATTCCGATATTAGCAAATTGACCGAAGTAACTGATTCCGTTGTTTCTCCAGTGTTCGAATATTCAGTAGCTCAAGATTAATGAATTTTACCATTAAAAATTATTTCAAATATATAAATTTTGAAGATGCTAATCCATTCCAGTAATCAGTAGATGTAAATTTTTTTTAAGATTCATAAAAGATATTGCAGAAGCCTTTTAGATTTTCTAAAACGATGAAATGCTAAATAATATGATAATAGTTAATTTTCAACATTCTTAAAGAACTTTTTTTTAAATTAGGAATATTTGATAAAGTTCGAGAATTCATTGATACTTAAATTTCTAAAGTATCACAATTTTGATATTATCATTTTATTAGAAATGATGTTTAATGAAAGCACCTTCTGATTTTACTGATTCCAAACTCGTAATACCGTCAATGATGATACTTTTTTCTGAATCACTCTAAATATGAAATAATCATTTTTCTGAAAAACTTATTTATTTACTATTTGTCAATAACGCAAATTTATTGTACGTTATCAAACGAATAATTAAAATACCAAAAAATTACTTTTAATGGAAATAAAAGCTTGCCTTATGCTGTAAATTTCTTTTATATTTTCATTTGATACTTTTAAAAAGTTTTAAAATAATTAATTAATAAACTAGCCATTTTTGTTCCGTTTGTTATCAGCGATAGAAGTGTGATTTGAATATATGTGAGATAACGAGCGACAGATATTCTAAATAAATTTGGTAAGATTTTCTTTCTGCTATTTCAATCTCATTTCAGGCATAAAATCATCCACTAATTGGTTACTGCATTTACTAAAATTCTCGGCAAATACCGGACACTAATACTGAATCTCTCAATACTGAATCCTTCAATGCTCGAATATACCCCAATTGAAACCTATAATTTACCTCCGAAGACCAGTGATCGAAAGCAACCGGCTGCCAAACAAGAAGAGAATGAATTACTTGGAAAAAATCATTTACCTAGTATTTATATCTTTCATAATTCATGCAAATTTTTTTGTCTTATCATTTTGCAAGTACAGAAATGGTGCCATATGCAAATTTTTAGATTTTCAGATGTAATCTCTTGATGACATCATATGAAGAATATGGCAGCCTTCTAAGAAAACAAAACATGTCAGTAAGAAATATGCAAATTTTTGTCAATTACTGATATTATAAGATGGTATGAGATATTTCAAAAGTTTCAGTTAAAATCCTGAAAGAATTTAAATAGGTGATTTTCCGGGAAATAGATGATAATTTTTTAATGCTGTCTGGTATTTCGACTTTCTTCTGTTTTTGATCTTCATTTATCGTTTTTTTATGAAGAGATGAGTTTTTTATTTAAAGCTTCGGAAGGTAAAAAATTGACTTGCATTGTAATGAAAGAGAAATTTAAGAAGAGGAGAAGAACAGGATAACACGGGAATTTCGGGTGAAAAATTCAATACATCGGGAATGGAAATAGAACTCCGAATCTTTCTGATTTCTATCAAATTGTCAAAAATTTGCTTATCATAGCAGCAGGGATAAAATACATTTCATATTTAACTTTTGCTTAACAATGCTATGCATTTCATTCTAGTTATTCATCATATCTTATGCTAATTTAAAACTTCATCAGACTGTTTAAAAATGAATTGAATTCAAGAAATTCACAATTAGCAGAGTTGATAGCATACTCTCATACTTGCTCTCATTTCACCTTTTCATTTCGAGAGTTATCGGTCGCTACGTCTTGTTAGCGCATGCCAGTACCCATCCGCTTATTCTGGTAATCTCGGGAGTTGTTTTGCTATCAGTATTATCAGCTATGCTATTTCATCTAATTCATGTTTTAATCGGTTTCTCAATTAAATCCTAACTGAAACGGTGGATTAATACAAACATGTGGTGTTGATATGTTATGGTTCGAATAATTTGTATTTACAATTTTGGTTCGAATAATTTGTGATTGCTAATTTGCAATTATTTGGATTATTAGTGACGGAACTTTGGATAGCTGCAAATATTAGTTCTGAAAATTTAAATTTCATTTACTTTATAAAATGCCACTCAATCTCTTTCGTTTCCGTTTTATATTATCAGTGATTTTTATGCTTCCCTAAAATGCAATTATATCAATATTCGTTTTATTGCATTGAAATGAATTCTCATTCATCCTGTTTGAGTGATGTTAAAGCTATAACGTGAAAGAAAGATTAATTATATAAAGGAAAAGGGAATAACTTCAATTTTCATTAAAAAAATTGTTTCAGGCAGGATAATTTGAATAACGGGTATAGATGTAATGGAATAGCGTATTAGAGGAAAATGTTTAGTGTATGGTCGTGTAAATATTGCACTCTTCTGAACGATAATACATCTCTCTTTTGTGCTTCCTGCGGGTCACAGAATCCAACTTCATCGACCAATTCCATTTTACGTCCTCAACGTCCTCAATTATCCAAATGGCGAAGTGAGTTCTTCCATCATCTTTCTAAATAAAGATGTAAGTGCAATGAAATTGAAATTCAAAAATTATGAAGTTCTATTTTGCTGAAACCTTTTTTAGGTAAGAGAAAAAAGTTAGAAAATTTAAACAAAAGCTCAAATTGCGATGTTTAGATAATGAACATTAATTTCAGATTTTAATTTTAAAATTGCATTAAATGGTGCTTTGAATGCAATTGATTCAGCTTTAACTGATATTCAAACGCTACCTGCCGCTTTAGGCTTATCACGATCTTCATCATGTCCTCTTCCTCCATCACCAACAAGGGTAAAAGTTAAACATTCCACTTCAACAAAAATTTAAATTTGAGATTTCTTGGAGTTTGAGGAAAAATAGCTACATGCGCAAACATCACACCATCAAGTTATTTTATTTGGGATTCTGCAAAAAAATTCATTTTCATGATACGGAAAATTGGGGTGATCAGCCTTGATGATTCTTAAAAGTATTATAGATAATTGTAGTACGGCAACGTTTTTTTCAAGTACTTTCAATTAACTTGTTTATTCAGGTGCAATCTCCGGTAGTGCCATGTCAAGCCATTTCGACATCATCATTTCAACTGTTGCAAAATGATGAAAAAGAAGCTGCATCCGAATTTGATCGGATTGTTGGATTCTGCAAGTAATTTCATTTTAATAATTTTCATTTCCAACGTTTCCAACTTAAAGGCTTGCTATTATGATATCTTGTATCGGAAGCAGATAACTTTGCAAATTCGGCATTTTCTTCGCCAAATAAAGTTGATAGTCATTGCAAGGTTCTTCAGACTGAGTATCTTAGTATTCTCAGTTCTTGAATTCCAATATATGCAACTTCAGACATTTGAGGCAATATGACAAAGTACGAAAAAGATGAAGTAATAGCAGTCATTTAGTGAGTGGTTTTTTTCAGAGTAATTTTAAAATCATATTTTGCAGGGAAAATAATATGCCATTTATTGACGACAGTTTCCCTCATTCAACAAAATCCATAGGTAATTTCATTATTGATGGAAGATTAGATGGTAAAAAGTTAAATGCGAACGATTTCATCTGGCTTCGACCACAAGACATATACACGAAGGATGGCAGACGTTACAGATGGTCCGTATTTTTGGATCCCAAACCATCGGATATTGAGCAAGGTTATTTTTTTCTCGAATTTGCAGTTTTTAATTTTTCGGAATCAGTTTATGTTCCAGTAAGATATGTTATACAATGCGTAGTGACCAGTGACGATAACATTCATTTTTTCTGCTTGTTCAAATTTTGCAAAGCTTAGTTTGTTTAAGCTTTTAATTTATCTTTTGCCTTTAAATTTTCGTTTTATTTTTGAAATTTTTTGAAGTTTTTTAGCGTCATATTTTTTTTGCAGCACTTCTGTAAAGCACATCAAATTTATTAATTGATTTCTGAACAGTTTGTTTTCTTTTGCAGGTTGCTTGGGTAATTGCTGGTTTTTGTCAGCTTTAGCAGTTATCGCTGAAAGACCAGATATTCTAGATCAAATTTTTCTGACAAAAGTTTATAATCCCTGGGGAGTTTATCAAATACGGTAAATCGTTTTTTCTCTTCTGTTGGCATACTTTGCTGCTTAGAGCATTTTCCGTTTTTTTTTAACTCCTCGATATTTTTTCCGAATTCAACAAACTTTCGAATATAAAATTCCAGCTTGTGTGTTGATGGTCATTGGCAGGTGGTTCTTATTGATGATTTTCTTCCGTGCCATTCGCAAACTCATGGACTTGCTTTTGCTGTAGGACGACGCAATCAGGTTTTTTTTCCGGATTAAATAGAATTTTTATTCTTCCCCAGGAAGAGTTTGAATTAAAATGCATTTTGAAATTTGAAGTAGAGACTAAAATTACAAGCAGCTCAAAATCATCATGCACTGGAATGACATATGTTAGTCAGATTGATTTCAGTTAACAAAATGATTTCTTGATTTGTTGCTGATTTAAATTACAGATATATTGAGACAAAAAACATGTTTGCAGTCTTATTTTCAGCTTTGGGTTCCTTTGATCGAGAAAGCACTCGCAAAAATACTTGGCTGTTATGCAAAGTTACCTGCTGGACGTACACTGGAAGGTCTCGCAATACTTACTGGTGCACCATGTACATTTCTCGATCTTGAAAGCTGCACGGACCACGACCTTATTTGGGCTCATCTTCTTAGCATGAGGTGGTATATTTGTTTTAATGACAAATTTAATTTAAATTGGGAATTCAATGCTTAATTTTGGCATGCATAAAGGCAGATTGACATAACTTACTGCTAAGTAATGTACGAGAGGATGCAGCGATCTTTTCATAATGTGTCGTCATGTGTTCTGAGATTACAGAGATCAGCAAGTGAAAAGGAGAGACGAGATAGTGGAAGAGTATTGATCAGTGTAAGATATATAAAATTCTTAGTACCATTAAACCATTACTATTAGGACCTAATTCCACACAGTTGAACCATTAGTGAATGCTTCTTATAATTGGGTTTTTAACCTTCTTTTACAGTTTTGTATTCATTTTTTAGAACATTGATGAAGCTACCATTTTCAGGGAAGCAGGTTTTATTATGGGTTGCAGTTGTGGTAGTGGAAGACGCTATGTAGATGAAGCTGAGTTTAAACGCGTAGGTTTGCAAATACGGCATGCATATTCTTTGCTGGATGTCAAAGAATATAAAAATCAAAGGCATGTCTTTCATTTTGTCCTTTCCGGAATTTAAAATTTTGATTACCGCAATAAGTTGTACAAATATGCTATTCAAAATTCCATGAAGAATAAACTTACATACATTTTAGACTTGTTCGCTTGCGAAATCCATGGGGTACATTTACCTGGAATGGACCTTGGTGTGATACATGGTCAGGTTGGGATGAATCAAGTCGTCGTATTTTGTTACCAAATGGTCCGGAACCAGGAGCGTTCTGGATACCTTTTCTAGATTTTGTGCAGCGATTTGATTCTGTAAGTTTTAAGGGCAATATTTAAGTTGAAAATTACTTGGATGCAAATATTTTATCTCTCCTCTATCACTGTCCGTTGTAACGATTCACTGACACCATGATCATTGTGGAAACTAATCATTATGTTTCAACTACTACATTATGCATACCTGCAAAACATCATTTTAGGTCGAAGTGGCTAAGGTACGGTCAGCACAAGGTTGGAAAGAACTTCGGGTTGATTGTTCGATATCCCAGTTTTGGGGTAAAGAAAACATTTTGTAGGTAATTTGATTATTAAGATTTCTCTTAACCTTTAGAATTTTTGCTTTTTTTGGTTACATTTCCTAGAATCACCACTCAAGTCGAATTTATATTTATGTTGGATTCCTCTTTCGAAAAAACAAGAGGGCTGTGCTTCTGTTCTTTTCTATTCAAAATTTTCTAATTGATCGTTTTAAACTTTTTAGAGGTTTTCAACTTCAAATCGAGGAACCTACAGAATTAGCCATTACCGTTTATCAGAAAGGGTCTCGTGATCGATGTGATAGTGATATAATGGTTTTACTTCATAAAAATGGTCCTTGTGATACGCAAATAGGTGAACTTATCGTAAGGTAAATTTTGTAGAACTTTTTTTTGGTGGCAGGAAACTGTGGAAAGTTTATTCATGCGACCCTTTAATTTTAATCAGTTTCTCTTCAACTTTTCATTTAAATAAGATGTGATGATGCTCTGCATTGGTGAAAATTTAATCTAGATGTAAAAGGAATATTAGTTTAGCCACTGGTATTTGCTTTCTGGGACTCTATGCAAGTGATCGATTGCACTGAAACACTTCTAGTGCAAGATAATAATCATCATGTATGAGGTTCTAACCAAATGTAGTGTGGCTTCATTTTTTCAATTTTAAAAGCTTCATTATTTTGAGAAACTTCATTATATTTTCTTTTCAGATCATTTCGCCGCAGTGTAGCATTTGCAAGCACTCAGGACGTTTTTTTAAATGGCCCGGCTTTGTACACTATACTTGCTATATCTTTTAGTAATATGTCTGATCCAGTTTCAATTGAAACTGTTGTTGCCCTTCATAGGTATCTTTAAAAAAATTCAAAAGAAATTTTGAAAAAATTTCTACCTTTAGATTTTAACGGTTTTGAAAGAGATTAAAGAAAGTTGGTTGCATACTAAATATTTACGTTGAAGATATTAATAAAAAAAGATTAAAAAGTATAATAACCCAAAAATGCTCCAAGGTTTTTAGTTATAAGAAAACTTATAGTTCTTGAAAGATTGATTATGCCATGCATACTTAGATGTTATATTCAAAAGTGCATAATTTTTCATGAATATCTTTTCAGTGCAAAAATGGTAATGATGGAAGCTTATTGTTTTTCATCATCAGTTATTGCACATTCGATGATTGAAATGTGTTTAAAAGAGGGCCAAAATGCACCGGTGAGTTATGTAGAATATGTGTTCTCTTTGAATAGAATCTTGTATGGTTTTTGTTTATTCTTTTTATTTTTGCATTTCTCATTTTGTTTTCTAATTTATAAATTGTTAAAAATTGAAGTGTCATAAAATTTTTTTCTGAAGCGATGATTTGCAGTTAGATAAGTTGCTTTATTCTTCATTGGGATCTATATGAAATATCAAAGTGAATTCCACCCTCACAACTTACCATTTGCTACAATTTTTTATTTATTTTTTCATTGTAGGTAGCTTACTTAGGTACTGCTACATCTAAAAACTTTAAATGCATAGTTTTCAGTGCTTAGATGGTACAGTTGTTCGTTATGTGTCGAAGGACTTTGGTGGACATATATTGATGGTTGAAAATCATCATCACCGGCACTTTCTACACGTAACACTTCTTAGCTTTTGTTGAAATTACAATTCGGATTTTCCATTATCAATGTTTCTCTAACTATTCAAATTTATTGATATATATGTAAATCATTCATTATAAATACAATATGTTCAGGTTTATTGCGATTGTTCGCAGTCAACTAATGTACTTTCAACACGTGCAAGTCTTACTTCATTAGATGTAATACCACCAATGCATCGCCAGGTTCACTTTTCATAATCCTATTTTTTCTGAATTTATAATTTTAATTTGGTTTGAAATTTGACATTGAAGTGTTCCTTTCCTTTAAAGGCACAGAAATAGCAAAAACTGAAAAATGTTTCAGATTTTAATGTTGCTCACGCATTTTGAAATGACCCAAATGTATACCATTCATCATAATCTAAAGCAACGTGTTTCGTGGTCACGCGGTTTGCAAGATTGGCTATCACTTGTGCCCAGTGAGCTCTCTCTGCCCCCGTCTACGGAACATGTTCCAGTAATTCAAAGTCCGTGCATAAATTCACTTCATAAACCTCGTAGAATTGGGTGATCTTTTTTTTACTTTTTAGCTTTACTTTTTTGGTAAAAATTCTAACTTGTTCAAATTTGACCTTAGATTTTTTTCTTCTAAAGAACTTCATAAACTAATAAAGGCATCAATTTATGCTTAAAAATTTGGCCTTGTGGAAATATGTAAGAGAATTCCGTTAGGGGGTGCAAAGTTTCTATTAAAAATAAAATTCTATTACGAAACTTTCATGCCCTTTGAGCTATTAAGTTTCCAATATTTTTTGAATTACTTTTGTGATATTCAAAAATCTTCGCTGTGATTTCTTCCTTGAAGACATATTGAGACATATGTTCAGTTTAGTTTTTTTAAGCAGCTGTGAGTTTTTCAAGCTGTTTTCCATTGTTGAATTGCTGTAAAGAAGTTCCAACTGTTCTCTTATCATGTTAATGTCTTTACTGGGATATTCTACCCTGTTAAATAAGTCTCATGTATAAAATATAAAAAATGCAGATTGCTCGTGTGACATATTCATCATATCACATTACCTCTATTGATCATCTGATGATCTGGCCCGTACAGTGAGTTATTTTTGTAATCTAAGGAAAGATAATTTTTGAATGCTTCATAGAGTTATCATCGTTTACGGCAATAATATTTGACGAAAAAGACTTTTGTTTATAACGCTTACAACAATGAAAAATTCAATATATTTTAGGGCTTATAAATGAATAACTATCAAATGATACTATTCAGCTACCAGCAAAACTGCCGTTTCAAATTTTTTTTCTTGGAAATTTCTTTTTGCTTGATGTCTTCTTACAGTATTAGACATTTTCTCTGAATCACTGTGAAAGAATATGCATTGTGTGAATTACGTTGAGTGCATTATTGTTGTCAGCACATATGACAGCTTATCACATGATGTTGAAATTTGCGATTGGGGAAATGGGTCGAAAGATTTGGTGCAAAATGTTATGCGCGATCAAAATAATTTCTGCAAATTATATTGCATTTTTTCGTTCGTTAAAGTTAAATTTTGTTCTTTCTTAACAAAATAAAAGTAAATCTAAATATATTTAAAAAGAAATCGATAATTAGAAGATTTGAAAAAATCAAAAAATTCTGCAAAAATTATTCCTTTTGTCACTACTCCAAAGCTTATCTTGGCTAAAAATGGTTAAATTTCAAAACTTCATATTAGAATATTTTGAAAATCTTTTATGTTTTAGTAAGAATTCATATATTAGGTTGTAATAATGCCCTCAATGGATAAAATAATTTCGATCCAAGTAAAAGTATCATCACCGCGATTACAGATCATACGATGAAGATCGTAGGGACTGCAAGTTACAGTTAAAGAAATCAAAATTGAGAACTTTGCATTTCTCAATCACGGGTATCAGCATACTAGAATCGCGTAAGCTAATTTGCTTTGGAAATACTTAGGTATCTTATTGCCAAATGTTTTTTATTAAATCATTTTGCTGCAAAAAATTATGTATATAATATGATCACATTGAGATGTCCTGTTTTATTTTCATATTGATTGTAATTTAAAAATGCTTAAATTATCTTCTCTGTGTATTTTAGAGAGCATTGAGCGCAAATGCCTTCAAATAAGCAAGAAACATTATTTCTATTGACTTTTTTTCGATGAAATTTCTCATTAGCATATTTCAAATCTTCTTGATAATAACTCCGTAAATTTTTCATTTCCGGTAACATGCTTTCTATAGTTTATTTCCGGAGCAAATTATACGAATAAAATTAAAGATTCATTTTTTTGCAAATGCAATTTATTTTTGTGGATCTAAGTTTTCAGAAAGAAAGAATTTAAGACTAATTAACAGTGTTTTATATTATATGACAAATTCAAGAAATAAACGAATCTTTTTATTTTAGAGAATTTTTCCATTTTCATTCAATTATTTCTTATACTTGAAAATAAAGAGCACAAATAGTTCAAATAAATGGAAGAAAAACTGAATGAAGTTGATAAGATCAAAATATCATTACCTTGATATCAAAATATCACCAAATTTTCATAAATAGTTAAAAGCCCCTTTTTCACACAAGCGTTTCAAAGCAGGCGTGATGCCAAAAAAGTAATATCAAGTAATCTAATATTATAAATTAACTCCATTATAAAATGAACGATCAGTATTAATGTATCAGAAACGAAGTGTCGACATTTTGGGATGATAACATGATGAAACAAAGTGATGGAACAAATTGGGATTCTTGAAAATATTGTTGAAATAAATACGATGTGTGGCTATTACTGAAACTACTAATTAAAATCAAATACGTGAAATCAATCTCTATCCAGATACGTGAAATTATCTCTGATATATCCTCGGAAATTTTCATGTTTCAAGATTGATGAAATGGGAAAAAGAAATTAATAATGATTTAGAAAAGCCAAGCAATACCTATTGGTTGTGGAAAGTAAAGTTGGATTCTGTATTGTAAAATTTTTATGATTTCCATCTTCAAGCTTAAACAGAATGTTAGAAAGAAAACGAATTATATTCTTTGTCATTTCTGAGTGTTATTTTTTATTCGCTTAATGAATTTGGCTTGGATGATACATTTTTAACAATATTAAAATTAGTAAAATAATGTAATCAATTTCAGGTGAAATTTTTGTCAGAATCTCTTCTCCCTCTCTCATTTACATTTCCATCTTTTGAAAAGCAAACAAATTATTTTAATACCACAATTTAATATTTTAATGATTGATTTGCAAGAATTCAACTAAACTCTTCATTTCGATTTACACGTTTTTTCTTTTGAACTTAATATTCAATTATTACCGTACGTCATTCAACTCACTTTGTAATTTCATCGAAAGATTTATCGAGATTAAATCCATACTAAAATTTTCGAAGTTTTGATAAGAAATCTATAAGACTGAATCATATTCTTACTGAGACTTAATGCAGTAAGAATGACTGAAATGCTTTGTAAATATGAAGTTCAATCAATTCCCATAATTTATAAGTTAGAATACGAGAATTTGATGCTAATCAAATGCAATGGCAAAGCATTTCTTCAAAATCTAATTTAGCCAAAAATTCTTTTGATTTCTAAAAATTGTTAATCGACGAAATTTTTATCAAAAATTTATTTTAAAAAAAATTAGCAGAAAAAATTGATTAAAAAATTTGTTGAAAAATTTGTTAAAGAATTTTTCTTGCTAATTTAGTTTACAGCTTCCAACAATTTGTATTATTCATAAATTATTTTTTTGAAGCATCTTTCAATTCAATTATATATGCTGCTCATTCTTTTAATATAATTAAGTAATTTGATTAATTAACTTTTTTTTTATAATTAAGTAATTTGATTAACTCTACACTATTTTGATTAATTAAAAAAGATTTCATTTCGGAAAAGTTAAATCCTGAAACGTAATTGCTTTGGATAATTTCCATGTATTGATAAGTATGAGTGAAAGAATATGAAAGTAAGAAAAAGCATTTATTACCTTTTCTCTCATATTTCAACATGTCACTTCCTTTCAACTTTCCTTCCCTAAATAATCATTTCAAATTTATGAGAAAGTATTTGTCAGCAGTTAAACGAGAAAAGAGAATTCAGGTGGTGGCATTGATAGATTAAAACCTTAAAAGTGACGAATAAAAATTTTCCCATCGTAAAAAAAGAAAGAATAAAAGGAATAAAAACAAATACAGCAAAATCATTTTATCTTCTTCTAAAAGTTTCTTATCAATGAAATTAGTGAGATCATACTGTATAGCAATTTAACTGATAATCTGTTTATATTATCAGCAAGGATTCTATTGAAATTGTGCGAATTATTTTTGCCTGATAAATATTATTTCATCATCTCCATAAATGACGCAAATGATGATAGAGTCATCATTCATTGGAGCAAAAAAGAATTTTGATTACTGACTATGATAAGGTCGTAATAATTATTATGGAAATTGGGAATGTGTTTATCGAATAAATGACGCCATTGTAACAGTTTCATTATCTTCACGGATACTTCTACCTTTTGCTCGAACAACAATTTATAAGTGGCATATATTATTTTGCACATTGATGGGAACCGGTTTGCCGTAATGATTGACAAACTATTGATACGTTCATTTTTAACATCACATCATTTTTGCGGATAACAGAAGATGGCAAATCAGTATATTAATGGAAATGATGATTCAGCACTACCACAAAATTAACTGTCATAATTTCATCAATTACAGCATGCTTTTTCAATGGTAGTAAGACGAAGTAGTATAATTAGTTTAATGCTTAATCATTAGATTTCTTCCTCCAAACTTTTTTTGCTTATGCTCAAATGATGATTGTGTATCAATTAAATATCTATTTGATCGATTACTGTATTGGATTGATGATTTATTAACGGAAAATACAAAATAGCATTTTGTAAAAATTATTCGCTAAACTTTCATAATGAATTCAAAAGCCTTAGGAAGTTATCATTGTTAACTACGTTGAAGTTAAGAAGAATCACTATCAGTACGACAGAATAGCACATTAGGAGATAAGATGAGATGATATTATAATATGTGTGATTTGTATTATAGTAATTTATTATTCCCTTTCATTATAACATCTGATTCACATTTAGTGACAACTTATAACAAATTGAAGGAATAGTATCACAACTGACGGAATAGTACCACAATTGGTGACAATTTAATAGCATCATAACTGATGGAATAGTACCACAATTGGTGATAATTTCGTAGTGTTACAATTGACGGAATAGTACCATAATTGGTGATAATTTAATAGTATTACAATTGACGGAATAGTACCACAATTGGTGACAATTTAATAGTATCACAATTGACAGAATTTGTGACAATTTAATAATATCACATTTGGTGACAACTTACAATAAATTAAAGAATCATTGATCAAAATCCTAAATTACAGCAAGATTAAATTTTTAAAATAATAAAACAATCTTATCTTTTTCATAGAAAATAAAATTTATTGCAAAATTAATTATGAGATTATTTTATTTTAAAATTTGATTTATTTGTATGAAATTTTTTTCATCTCTTTAAATTGCTTTCAATTTTACAAAAAAAATAATTGACAGTTTTGCTATTATTAAGAATAAAGCATTTTAATTAAGGAAGAAAAAAAAACAGCTTTTTCCTATTTTCTTTTTTCAAAGGCCTTCTTTATAAATTAATGAAATTACTAAATAGAATTATATCATTGATTTATTTAGTAAACAAATTATGAGAAATGCAATAAGTAAATTTGAAACGAATAGATGAATGGTAGATGTTACTGATGAAGCGGCATTGCATAATTCCTGAGCGCAATAGCATTTCCTCATCTCTTTCAGTCTATAAAAAATTTTTAAAATAATAAAAATAAAATAAAATTAAATTAAATTAGTAACTAACATTAATTGCTATTATTATTTTATTAGTGTTATTATTACTGTTTTGTTATTATTATTATTATTATTATTATTATTATTATTGATATTTATATTATTTATTGTTTATTATTATTATTTCTTATTATTTACCATTATCATTATTTATTATTGATTATGAATAATATTTACCATTATTATTATTTATCATTATTATTTATTATTATTTTATTTATTATTGTTTACTATTTATTATTTAATATTTACTATTTATATCATTTATTAATTATAGTTTATTATCTATTGTTTATTATTTATCGTTTATTATTTATTATTTATTATTTCCTGTTTTTACTATCATTATTATTAATTATTATTCCTATTATATCCTATACTCACTATCTCTTGATTTATATCTTCTATCAATAAATTAAAAGCATTTAATTACAACCGAAAGCTATACTATTGAAAATTAAAATAACTTACTTCCAGATATTCATATTCACACATTCGCCATCCTTGAGCTTTCTCTCTTCGGAATCTGCACAACGTTTTTCAACATAATATGAACCATCCTGAAAATCTTAATTTTTTTTAAAGTAATAAAATATGCTAAAAAGATATTACACTATGATAATAGTTGAAAAATTATCAATTATTCTTTTTCTATAATAAAAAAATGATTGTTAAATAATAATTCCACCTTTCTGCTGTCATAATATTTTCAATTTATAAAAAAGCTTCTTAAAAATTTACTAAAATTTTAATTAAATTACTAAATGAGCTATTGATGATTTTAACATTGTTGAAAAACCATTAATTAATTTTTAATTATTATTCCTTGATTTCTTTCTCAGGGTTATTCCTTGATTTCTTTCTCAGGGCAAAAAGACACAGACATATTTAGCGAATAAAATTAGTAAAGGAAACTGTAATCATTTGAAATCCAGACAAGAATCTTCTTCTATGATAACATTTAAATTATGCTACGAATAAATCGAACTATCAACTGTTAACAAAAAGATTTATCATCCTATTTTGAAAAGTCATCAAACTGTTGTCATCTGGTTTAAGAACTGAATTTAAATAATTTTGAATATAATTTTATTCATAAAATCTAAGTGATTAATGCGCTCATTTTAAGATGAAAGTTTTATTTTGTCAAGTTATATTGTCATATGCTTCCGACTTAACATCCCTGAGAAGTCCTGTTATAGAACTCTTATAGAATATGTGAATATATCGCGGTGAGAACAAACCGTGTTTAATGCAGTAACTGAAATGCAACCATTCCGAATTCCACTACCAGTACAGTTTATTTTTTTTGGTTCACCTTTACAGGTTGCTGTTGGAGCACTCAAAAATACACCACATGAATAACATTGGAAGGGAGATGATGATACTACCGGAAGTATTGGTAACCATAATAATGTTATTAGCATTCCTGAATAACAAGAAGAAAAAATATTACAAAATTTAATTTTAAAAATTCCGGAGAGAAAAGTAATTAATTCGAATAGACACAAATAAACATTTGAAATGGAATGGGTAATGGTTTTGCTTAAAAATTTCAGAGCATTTCTTATTGTTATGATAATAAAATGATAAAAAATGATATCAATCATCAAAGAGAAAAAATAATATTAATCATCATGATAAGAAATAATATTAACCATCATAAAACTCGAAGAATCTTTGCCTATAAAATTTCAATTTTTGCTAAATCAGATAAATTGTAAATGAACATAAAAAGTGATAATGAGAAATGAAAGTAATGAATCTCGTAATGATAAGTGTGATATGAAAGGTAATGATAATAATTCAACGATGATAATTTTAGCAGATAAATTTTCAATGAGCATAAAAAGTGATAATGAGAAATGAAAATAATGAATCGCGTAATGATAAATGGGATATGAAAGGTAATGATAACAATTCAAACAATGATAATTTTAGCTTTCTAATAGTTGCAACTTTGATGCAAATATCTTTCGAAATATACAATCAGCTAATGACCATCTGGCAAATTCAAAATCGACGAACAAATTCTAGCGGAGTTGCGGGATAAATTGAAATAAAAAGGAAGAACATATGTGCTGATAGGATCAGAAGTGAAGAAAAGAAACCTAAATGGGAGGTTGAAATGATGAAAAAATGAGAGTTCGAATGTTAGTAATTCACATTTCACAGGAATGAAATCATTGGAATTAATGAATAATATAACAAAATAAGCAGCAATGGAAATATTGAAGAGAGAGAGAGAGAGAGAGTGAGAGAGAGAGGGAGGAAGGAAGGAAGGAAGAGAGTAAATGAAATTAAGGTGGTAACTTTACACAGATATTGCTTTAAAAAGTTAATATAATAATTCGTTTTCATCTAACACTTCAAATTATTCCTTTCTTAGGGGTTTAGATGAATTTCAATAAGAATAAAATTGATTGGAGTTAAACAAGATTAGATGGAATTAAATTAACAATGAAATAAATATAATAAAGCAAATTTGGTTAGCCGAACCAATAGTATCATCATATCAAACTGATATTATCACCATATCAAATGATAATATCTAAAAATTGTATCGATTGATCAAAAATTAAATTCATAACTGAAATGTTAACTTTTAAATGATAGAATTCCAATTGATGAATTAAGAAAAATTAGAATAAGGCAATAAGTTGAATTCTAAAAGTATTTATATCAAAAAAAAGGTATTTTATTTGAGTATGGTTAAGAATTTAAGTAAGGGTAAAATTGATTTGAGGTAGGCTAATAGACAAAAAGGTCAGGTTAACTCAGGTCAGGTCAAATGAACAATAGTGGAAAAGCAGCAGGTTCGAGATTAATAAATTAAAAAACTATTTGTAAGACGGAAGTTTTATATTTGTGTACAGATGTTGAGTACAAACAGAGTAAAAATGGATGGGTATGCATAGATGGCTTTAATTTCAAGACTGGTTTTAAATCTTTCAACAGCAACTTATTGATTTTCCACTTCTTTGGCAGCTTCTCATTTAAAGAATTTTGACTATTATATTAATATCAAGAAATCGCCCATAGTAACAATAATATTAATTTGTAAATTTTAATTAATAGCTATAATAATAAATTGAAATTAATTTGAAAAGCTACTACTAAAATTTACACTTAATATTAAATTCACTTAATACTAAATTTTAACGAATAATTCCAAATTCATTGTAGCAAATTAGGAAAGAGGAGAGAGAGAGGAAAGAGAGAAAGAGAGAGAGAGAGAGAAGAGAGATGAGTTTATATCACAAAAAAAAGAGAGAAAAAAGACTTCCAATTACTAAAACAAACTAAGAATTTCCAATTACTAAAAGGCAAACTATTACTAAAACTTTCATGGAAAAAGAAATAATTATTGGTATACATGCTATATTTTATATATGGTAAAATTAAAGGTTGTAATTAAAATTTTTAAAGCATATCTGTAAGAATAAAATTCATGCTTGTAAGGAATAATTAATAATTCTCAGTATTCATTTAATTATTAATTATCTCATCAAATAAACAAAAATAATAAAATATTGTAATAAATCAAAAAATAAAAGAAGGCAATATTTTGAATGAGTAATTAAGAGAATATTACTAATATTGATCTATCTAATAATGCTGGTAATAATTGTAAGATTCTGAAAATATTCAATTAATTAAATTCAAATATCATAGATGAATTCAATTTTAATACTTATCATTTAAATTTATAAAATGAGTTGATAAAATATTCAAGAATTCGAGTTTAATTTTAACAATTTATTTCGTCGCTTTTTTGATAAGTAAAATTCGATGATAGAAGTAAAATTAGATGATAAAATGATAAGTAAAATTGGATGATAAAAATAAATTGATAAGTAAAATTAGATGATCGGAAATGATAATCAAATGTTATAAAGAAAATTTGTAATTGAAGTTTGAAATGTTAAAGAGAGACTTTTTCAAAAAATTGCTGATATCCGTTTTTTCCTTTTCCACTTCATTTACTGGCAACAAGCAAAATGAGAAATGGAGAAGAACGAAATCAATGTTATTTACAGCTACATCGCCTTTTTCCTTTTATTTCAAATTCCATATTGAATATAGAAAGTAATCATTAACTGACACATTTCATTGACAGTAGAACTTTTTAAAAATTTTGCTTAAATTAAACAAAACATTTGTCTTACTATTTATTGATGATATATGGAAGTATTTAGTCCAATATTTGTGATATGTCTATTGTGATTTAAATTAATCTGAAATATTGAGCATTTGTCTAGAAAATTTAAGCAAAAAATTGAACTGAAAAACTATTCCTCTTTTTCTCTAATTATTGATAAATGATTAAATTACCGAAATTTTCTTCTAAATGATTTAAATTAACATACACAGCTTATTTGAACTATAATGGAAGAGTCTGAAATAAACTATTGAAATGCAAAATGAATGATAAGAAATGATGGAAAATCTTATGGAAGAGAATTGAGAATAGTCTCATCAATATGTTTGATATTGAAATTCTACCTCTTCGGATATTCCCACTTCAAGGAATCATCTTTCATACTTTATATATTAAATCAATAATTAGAAGATGCAGACATAAAAGCTCCAAACTTCTTTACTAATTTTCAAATAAAAGATTTACAAATCAATAAAATAATTTTCAATCCTTGCAGTAGTTTAGATAGCAGGTTAGTAGGCTTTCCAAATGTATAATAATATATTCTGTGCCGAATGTACTACATTATTTTGAAATGATTGGACAACAGACAATGTTCTCAAAAAAATGCCAACCTACGAATGCATATCAACTTTCTATTTTCTCATTACTTTATCACTATAAATTATTTTGAATGTCTAGCTCTCATATTTTTTTCAATATTAAAAATATTAAAATTTAATTCCAATATTAAAAAGGATCGAACTTGCAACGACATTTTTCAATATTTTAATTTCTTCAAAAATTAATTTAGCTTTAAATTATCAATTTAATTTGAATATTTATTTTCCAAACATTTTATTCCAATAAAAACTGATAAAGCATTAAGTTAGTGCATTTTGATATCTGTGATCTTTTAAAATTTAACAGAGCAATGTTGCTAATGCCTGATTTAATTGGAACGACCAGCAGCTAAAATGAAAATATTTTATTAAACTTATTATCTAACAAATTAAAAGAATAAAAATAAAAAGCACATTTGATTTCATACCTTTTGCTAGTATTTCAACAATTTGATTTTATTCAGAGAAATACAGTTCAGGAATGGTTATTTAAATATTTCACAAAAACTCGAAAAAAATTAGAATTGATAGAGTAAAATTATCTAAAATATCAAACATTGTGCAAGCTGAGAATTTAATATTTTGGAAAAAAAATTTATTTCTAGATTCGACCAAAACTACAAAAGTCTCCATATTCAAAACCAAATCACTTTATAATTAATAACCAAGCTATTCAGTGCTGAACACAGTTTCTGATATGTTGAGAGTTTATAATTTAAAGACACTGCTATGCCAGAAATTAAACGAATTAATTACTTCTTCCATCTTTGATGAAAAAAAAATTCGATATCAATAACTTCTATTCGACATCAATAACTTCTTTTGGTGTATTAACTTCGGCCTTTCGCTCAAATTCATAAGTACTAGCTAACTTTCGATAGTAGTCATTGGTTTTGGTGATCATCTGAAATTCAAGGTTTCAAAATATCAAAAACTTGATTATGAATTATATGCTTTATAAAGCAGCATAAGCTTCTCCTCTACTATATAATTTTGATATTAGTGAGAAGACTGATGGTTATTACTTATACGGCAGTTCGTTTTTTGGTCTACGATACATACAGGTTTTGTCACCATATACAGCTAAATTGAAAAATTAATATTAATACTATTACGATAATAACAATGAATACTTTAATGGTCGGAACATCTCAGAGTCTATTTACAGCGTCCCATCCAGTTCCTTGACTTATTTTTTTTAACGCCCCTTTGTCTCATTTTGTGTTATCTAGCTGATTTCTTTTACATGTTGGAAAAACGATCTTAAAATCTGTTCAAACTTATTGTTCAAAAATGTCTGATGAATACAGTAAAGGTGTGAATTATGATCAGAACAGCAAAATTGTATGAAAAGAGATGTCAAAGCTTACATCGTCAATTTCTTCTCGCATTTCGTAATAAAAAGCTTTCACCATATCTGAAGTCTTACTTTCCAGCACTTCCGCAACAGCATCAAAATCCTTTCCATACCGTTGAAATGCTAAAGAAAAAGAAAACTGTGCAAAAATTCAAAGGACTTATTAAATTTTTTAAGTGAAAAGAGTGCGGAGAAATATTCGACACAGAAACAACTAGACAGTATTGAAACATCCAGTATTATTAGCAAAAGTTTTAAATATTTCTAAATTGCAAAGATTGGAAAAAAGGAAGTGCATTTTTTAAACCTAATGTTTTATAAATTTAGAAATAATACTTACCAAACAACGCGTGCCATTTTTCTTTGTAAGACCATGATGGAGAACGTCGAGGACGACTAGAAGCTGCAGAAGACGGAAATCGACTAATTCGATAACGCTCCAGATCTAAAACATTACTACTTCAAACGAAATCTTTCAGTCCCATTCTAAGGTAAATTAGTTACCTTAGCATATAATTTATAACAAAATTTAAATGTCTGTAAAAACCAACGTTCATTTAAATCTTTTTCAAACTGCATTCGTAATGTATGCTCCAATCGTACGCAATTTCCTCTTGCAATCATTTCCTCTCGTTCAAGTTGTCTAAAGCGTGAAAAAGAAATTAATTAAAAAAAGTTATGCTAAGGTAGCCACGACAGTATATTCACTCAGATGAATGCATCTCTAATGTTGGAACATTTAAACGTCCACAATCCGGCAAAAGCTGATGCAAGCTGTTAAACCATTCCTCGTAATCCAATCAATAAATGGGATATTCATAGCTGGAAAAAGAAGTATTCGGAAGTGAAGATTTTTGCTCAAAATATCAGACATAAATAAAGTACATTTGTCTTTGTTCATTAAAAATTGGCCAAAATATCTAGGAAATATCAAAATAACTTGAAAATGAGTGAAGAATCCTTGAATGGCAAATCATAAGAAAACATGCTTTAAGATTCGAATGTATCGCATTTCCGGTGGTCGAATAATAGTAACAATCTGCAAATCGTCATCACCTCCCATTTCATTAACGCTTTTTCTTAATGATGATGACTGTGCAGCGTCCTCCTCCTCAGTTGCAAATTCCACAAATCGTTCCACCACTTCCGCTATACCTGGAAATATTTAATTAATATTTTATCTAGTCAATAGAAGAAAAAAATTTCCGCACTAGTCTAAATTTTTTTAAATTTTTATAAAATACCACCTTTAGGACATTTCATAGTTTCGTTAATGTTTCCATCAAAAGTCATCGGTTTTAGGCACAGTCTGTGACGATGATAATTTCTGCAAGATTAATGGATTTAAACAAATTTCACAGGAAGTAGAGAACTCGGTATTCCAGTTTGTTCAATATCTTCAACATGGTCAAAAGCAGCCCACCAATACGAAACGTGTTCTAAGTAACAAACATTTTCAAAAAACTTAAGTTTCTATTAAATACCTGAAATGAATAAAACAGCTGTTGCAAAGTTTTAAATCACCCATTTGACGCAGATTTACAGTTTGTTCACAGTTGTAACATCGACTGATTTGCTTTTCTACAGCGTTCAGGTCACCGTCTTCAGAACTACTACAAAAGAAGTAGTTTTATATAACAAAAATTAAAAGCTGCTTTTCTCAGATTTGTTGTTAGTTTATTCCAAACTGCATATAGACTCCCTTTAATTTACATTCACATTAAAATGCAAAATACCTCAAATGACTTCTGGAAAGAAAGTTTTGATTGACCTTCTTTTATTTTTCCATTTCTTGGACTGCAGTTTGCTTTCTAAATTATTCCTCCCTAGTACTGTCGCTATTTCTCAGTGTTAGTGGCATTCTGATCCACGTGCAGAACTCCCATATGCTGGTCGAATCAAAAATGAGTGAGACCAAAATCAGATACCTGGATTTGGGATTGTGTTCTTCTAAGAAAGTATCGATGATACTTCGAAAATTTAGTTTCTTCTTATTGTCGTAATAGAAATTGATAATTTCCTTTATCGATTTATGCGGCAACTAAAATTGATTTACAGAGTTATTGAAATCTCAAATCTGACAAACTATAAACTTTATTAGTTCTTCGAATCTCAAGTTAAGTGCCGACTTGTCTAGAATTTAAATACGGCATACATCAAGTGGGCTGCAATGTAGAACATAACTTGAACCTCTTTTCTTCCGAGAATAATTTAGAAAATTATTCTGAATAAGATGTATTCAATACTCTGTCACTTTATAAAGACACCTAAAAAGAAACTAAGACAATCCATAGATCAGATATATTCAGTAAACAACAAACCAACTGCTTGATTTTATTAAAATGTTTGCCATATGTTTGCAGTGCTTGTTTAAATATAGTCATATCTTCTTCACTCCACGGTTCTTTTTTGATTCGTCGTTTAGCGAGTTGATGTTTAGCTTCTTCGATATTATAATCTGATGATTGCAAGATAAACATTGCCTGAAATTATTTAAAAGAGAACACATCAAATTTATGAAGGCAAAAAGAAGCAGGAAAAAACAAAACATACGCGATTTCGGTCATTTATTGTCATGAGGCAAGTTTATTCAAATCTCTCGCTGACACATCAGCACACGCAGAACATTGTTCGTCTGTCTCGACATCAGCTATTATATCTATTCTCTTGATTCATCTTGTAATTAAATCTTTTTCAGATGCCACCAAACAGTACATACTTTAAACATACATGCCATTGCCGACACCGCTCAACCGATATCATTGATATGACAGTAGTTATTTTAACCACTGAACAAACAATCCTTAATTCGAAATTATTTCAGAGTGATTTTAATCTAAAGTAAAGTAACACAAAAAAATTTTAACTCAAAGAGAAAACTTTTAAACAGTTTGTAAAAGTTGTCTGAAGAAATATACCCGATCTTGTTCAATATTGAAGCTTGAAAGCGCAATGGAAAGATAATCGTTAATGTCAGCAACTTTCAGGAGATTTGTTGGTCGCCAAAGGCAAGTCTCACGTTCTGTGTCATTATAATAATCATCTTCTGTCGTCCAGTCCTGTACCGGACACTGATAGTCGACACCTTCACGAATTTCAAGATTTGTCGGTAAATGGAATGCTGCGCGATCTAAAAAAGATTCTGCCATTCTATGCGAGCTACTTCAAAAATTCCTATCTTACAATCGTCTGCTTACCAAAAATTAGATATTACCTGTGCCATAAAAGTTGGAAGGACCAGGTGCATCCTCCTCCATCACTCCCGCGTCCTCATCCTCATCATCACCGCTACTTCGTGGAGTACGTTGAAGTCCTGCCTGATCACTGCTTTCTTCATCCGCGATGTTCTCATCACCGCCATCGGCTTCATAGTTATCCTGAAAAATGAAAAACATTCAATGTCCAAATGCAAAATAATTCCAATCTCTCCTTCGGTTTAAAATCCATTCATATTTGCAGTTATGAGCCAAAATTAATCAGTGAATTCTAAAAACAAGTGTTAAGATCATTAAATTATGGCCGCACGAAGAACATACAGATCAAATAACGACATAATATAATTAATTATGAGAAAATTAAAATATTATAAAAGGACTGCTTAAAACCAAGAAAGAAAACTAGAAAGTTGATTCTAATAACTAAACAAAAAAACTAAAAGAGAACGAAATACCATTAAAAAAATTTTTAATCACTTTAGTAGTTTTGTTTTAACGTTTGTTAATGTTAATAAGAGAAATATGCGATAGCACAAAAAGATACGATAACCATCTATCTACTGATATTTTACAATAATCCTAATCTGCTAATAAACATTCATCAACAACAAAAATATTTCAACATCAACAAAAAGTTTACAAGAAAGATCAGTTAGGCATTGAAGGAAAATTTCCGCACATTTCATTGAATAAAGAAAATCAGGTAAAAAAAAACGTGTTAAAATCAAGTCATTTGTCATCATAACAAAAAAAGAACGTGAAAGTAATCAAATACAAGAGAAAATAAAAACAAAAAGGTGTAATCAAGCTGTGAATTGCTTCGAGGATTACGTAAAGTGTAAAATAAATGCTAAGAATTTATCGATTAAAAGATTTAAAAGTGCACTAACCTGCCCCGATGACTGCTCCGATCCTTCCTTAACTTCTCGATCGATATACATTTCATCGCCATAAGATTTCATTTGCGCTTTGCAAATCGGTATATCGTCGATACCTCTGCAGTCCGATAGCCACCTCTGTATATCAATCTGAAGTATTTCTTACTAAACAAGCATTAATCTTTTTTTCAATAATCTTTCACTTCAAATTCAAGATCTTTTCCTGATCTTTGATAACTTCCACAAAGCGGGAAAAATCCCTAATGCGCTTGCATCCTGTAATTGCTAATTTATTTATTAATGTAATGTGAACCGACAAGAAAGGTCAGGAAAAATACGGAAAATAAGCTTTAGGAAGATACAAACAAACAACTGTTGACAATTTATTGATCACATGGAACGGACGACAACAATAAGGCTTTTTCAGTACATACAAATTTAGACAGTGATTTTCAATGGATGATTGATAAGAATCTAATAATTATAACTTTCATTCCTTTATGTCTCAATCATCTTTTATAGTGCTTTGGTACCTTGTAGTATTTCTATGGTCAATTTCTGATACTTTGTTGTGGAATAGGTAATTTACAATAACAAAAAAAATGCAAAGATTCGTTATCAGTAGATAGAAAAAATAAACAGCCTGTAATAAACAACGAAACGGAAGTTGAATTACATCACTGAAGTCAAATGCAAATAGGACCTGAAATGACCTTAACTTGATACATCTAATGACCACTTCTTGATTATTAGCCGAAATAACCTTAACTTAATCCATCTATGATTACTCAGGATTTCCAACATCATTCATATGGTATTTTGCGGTTTCCTTCGGCACCAAAACTTTTCATTATCCGGAAATCAACAAAGCGGCAAATGATTGAAATGCTCGAAGTGATGCGATGAGAGATGAAGGAAATGGAAGAGAGTATTTAGATTGTGAGGTACATCAGAGATTGATATGGATGGGTAGTGATCGAGAGTTGGTTGAAATTCCCATTGTTTTTGGGGCTTCGGGGAATATCAAATACAGAAATTTGGATGAGTTTAGACAGTCTTTAGGAAAATGTTCAGAAAATATCTGTAACGGGAAGGGCAATAATGGAATGAATTGTTCTCTCTCACTTCTCCTTCTTCTTCTGTAAGGTGCTTACCTGTACCGTGTCGATTTTAGTAATTTTTGTAAAATTCAAACGTGGTGAATTTAAATTAGACTAACAGGACATAAACTTTTAAATCATTCCCTTAATTACTAAATGAGATTGGAATGATTTCAATAAATGTTAACATTCTGATCATTTGAGTTCTTCATACAAGAAACACATCCTTATCAGATGAAGGATTGAATTACTATTGATCTGACTATATACTGACTAATACATCGTTATTATCATTGTCATACATTTTATCATCGTTATCAGGCAATGCTCATTATCTACTATCATTTGATCATAGGATTTCTTCCAAATGTTTCTTACTGTTAAATTTTTTTTTCATATTTCAAAAAATTTTCTTAACTGCCTAATTTGGACATTTTTTTTGATCAAAATTTATTTCACATTAAAACATTATAAGAAAATATAGCATTAATTACCTTTTATTTTTCCTTGTTGTTAAATTAATTGATGTTGATATTTAATGCCAACATCAATTAAACAAATTAATGCCGTATCAATTAAACTTGATCTAAATTTCATTAAAATTTAAAATAATGGAAAGGTGGAACGGTTCTTACGGTAGTGTATTTTTTGATACAATTTTTATTTTTGAAAAATAAAATTTGACATTTGTAACAAAAGTTTGGCAACGAAATGTTATGCGCACATAATACATATGCGTACTCTTCTGCATCTTTTCAAGGTTATTTTCTAAATTTTAGGTACCAAAGGTTTTATTAATTTCAGGCAAAAAAATTAAGAAAACAGAAGCATATGAAAACATGTACTGAAATAGTGATATAATGTAATGAATTTTATGTCATGTTAGATTCACATCAAAATTAGATTGATGTTAGCAGCAGTAGTAGTGAGCGAATTTAAAGAAATGAATTCATTAATATGAATAATAAGCCGTGAAATTTGGATTTCTGCATTGCTAAGAATTTGAAATTATTTTCTTGCAATCATTCATTTATTTCAATTATTTAAAATTATTTCTGTTAAAATTTGAGTGCTTGAATCTTTCAGAAATCGATGGAATTACATTATCATCAAGAAGATGTGATTTAATGAATTGTTTGACAGTTCTGATTTAGGATAAAAGATGGCCCTCAAAATGTTCCCCGTTTGTTATTTGGTCTATCAAAAACTTCCATTTCTCTCTTGTTTGACTTTCCAGCTCAATCCAATTAAGAATTGAGAGATACAACAAATTCTGAACAATGATTTCAATAATCGAAATGGAACTGGATTACTAGGATTAATGTTCAATTGGATTATTAGGATAAGTGCAGTTCTACACAGTTTGAAACGTTAATATAGATAACGTTAATATAATGATTTCCGCGATTATAAAACAACGGTTCAACTTTGCAAAGTTTTATCAATCTAAGATAGATGAAATGATAATGTTTTACTCATTGATAAAAGAAAACAATGATTTATGGTTGATTTAAAATATCGCAAAGATAATTTTAATTTAGCTTACTGAAAATTTTAAAATATTGCGGTTACTTGTCTTATCCGAACTAAATTTTCCAATGTATCAGATGAATTTCAATTTGCCAAACACTCTGTAATTAAAACTTCTATGTAACATTGATATCAATTACTACCGATCTGTTAAACATTAATATTTGAAATGTTTTTCCCTGTATTTCCAACCATACACCAACTGATTTCTTTGATCTATTAATAAAAATTTCATGATATTTTATCAGTAATTTGTAAGTTGAAACATGTTTTAACAACTTTTTTTCCTTCGTCGTTTTTTCTGCAGTGATTTTATCAGAATTGCCATATTTTGATGTTTTGAGAGTTGTAGCAAAATGAAGAAATATTTAATGATTTGAGAGTTGTAGCAAAATGAAGAAATGAATTAATCTGGAGTTTCCACTTTTTTTCCCTTTTTAATTCAAAAAATTTTTCAAACAAACTTTGCTGCAAAAATGTTCTTTTATCTCGGGATTTTTTTCACTGGTTTTCTTTATGGGTCATTTTGGTGTTACAGCTGTAATATCATATACCGCCTTTCATTTCAACCTACTCATTCATTTCATCCCACTTCCTATTAGTTGACAAACCGGTAGAAGATTATTATAGTTGACACATAGCGAACTTAATACACAGAAATGGAAATACTGATCGGTCGACTACGGACGACAATCTTGGATGCTCCAGAAAAATCAGATATATCGCAGTAGCATGCTAATATCGTCAACATTATCTCTACTACAAATTCTTCGGCTACTAAAACTTTCCATACAATTTACCGCTCCTTTGCTTATAATATTTTTGATATTATATGTTCCATTTACTAATGCCAGACATCATAAAATTCATTTCGAAAATTTATGCAAGGAACCCGCTGATTTGGTATGTTCAATATGTTATCATTATCTTACTTATTTGGCTATATATATTTATATGTTATCATTATTTTGATAATCCGACAGGCTTATCTTATATTCTTAATCATAACTGGTATAAATTCGATTAACTCTCACTCAACTTTGATAAGCAATGGCCTTTTGTCTTGCACTAATATATGCCGATCCTATTGAAGATGTCTAAATTATATATCATTAATGTAAGATACAATGAATTAATTTTGGTCAGATTCAACTAAATATCCTTAGAATCTTTATTTAAAATTAAACTCTAAAGAATGAATGAGTGAGTGTATATTTCATTTCTGCAATTTATAAGTTTCATTATTTCTAAATCTAAATGATAAAGAAATGATTTACAAATGACTTTCATAAACATCTCCTATAATCACGTGAATGAATGATTAATTCTCTCGTAGGGTTTTGTGAAGAGGAAACGAGTGACAAAAGGTGACAGTTTGAAATACATCATTGTTAATTATTTAATTAAAATCAAGTAAACAAAAGAAAAATCATTTAAAAACTCGAACAATTCATTCTGATTGCTAATTTCTTGCGTAAAATGTGGGTCAACTGATAAAAATTTGAATCGAACTGTTTAAAAAAAGTAGATCACAAGCAGAAGCCCTTCATGTATTTTAAAATCTCTTGTTTCTACTCCATCTGCTTCCCCATGACCTTTTTGATGATATATCTATATTTTTGTAAGATTACCCGGAAAAATATTTATCAATTTATGAACATCAAAAAATTTATCAAGAATGATTATTCGAACAACTATGATTATTTGTAAGTCTGGAAGTATTGGTCGAATTTACATCGTTATAATAATTAAGATAACTTCTAAACTGGTAATCACAGCTGTCACAATTACAATTGCAATTAAAAATTAAGAGTCTAGCAAAGTTTGCAAGTTTTCAGAACTGGAGGTTATTTCGATGGTTTACTGAAACATCCGAATTAGAAATTCTGGAAATTAATGATGAAGATTGGAATCCTCCGGTACCAGAATCAAGTTTCTGTAGTATTGAACCAGTAACAGGCATTAATTCCACAACAATGCAGCGATCTCTATGTCCATGGCAGTGGAAGTTTGTTTCTAAATTATAAAATATATTTCGAAAACATACTTCTTATGATCTTTTGCTTCTCTTTCTCGAAACCAGAAAGAACTAATTCTTTTCAACGTTAGCATAATGTTGATAAATATGATAAAAAGATCAACAATGAAACGGAGCAAACTAATTAAACTTTGTACGAACAGTTTTAATCATTGCAACATTGAATTTTTACTTTGATAAATGAATTTTAATGGAATGGAAGAATGAAGTGTTGTCACAACTGGTTGATATTCTTAATAGATCATTCGTTTTCTGATTTGATTATTATCACTTGATTTGAATTCAATTTTTGATATCATCAAAATCAATCTTAATTTTTCTTCAAAAAACTTTTTGTATTATTTGTTGTCGTTAAGAATCCTAACCTATTCTTATAGTAAACTTTCCATATTTTGCTTATGGGACTGCAGAGCCTTATGTTCTGAAAACAATTAATTAGATGTTAAACGGTTCACGCTAAATCTAGGGATATGTATAAACGTGTGAGATACAAAGATTCAACTTTCTTCACTCTTTATTTAAACTTATCCGATAATTCAAGCTTTCAACTCTTTGAAGACTGAACTGAATTATTTTCTAAATTTTAGATTGAATCACGATGAAAATCGAGAGCCAAAGATTATTTCTGAAGCACATTGTTTATGTCGTCGTAGTCGTGGAAGTTCAGGCTCATTTTGCATGCCAATTAAACGACAAGTAACGTTATTAATATTTGAAGAAATCGCATAGCTTTGCATATATTGCATAACAATTTTGAAAAATAGACTTTCTCAAGAACACTATGAATGATCTTGTTATCATTTAAAAGTATCAGAAAATCTAAATAATCTTTGAGATATTTGAAAAAACTACAAATTTTATCAGATAGCTGTATTGAAACGGACTCGATGTGATCCGACAACAGGTTACTACAAATACACTCGGGCACTTCAAACTGTTACTGTTGGATGTCATTCAGTACTTCCAAGAAGCCAGAAAGCTAGTCCTTTGACAAATTTGTATAGAAAAACTAGTATTGTTGAAATTTAATGAATAATTATTATTAACAGTAAAGTTCGTCAAGATTGCGTTAGATGGAAATTCATTGAATAAAGATTAATGCTTACTGGCACAGTCCTAAAGGATAACCAAATTAAAACTTACCAAATTTTTATGATCCTATATTTAAAGGAAAAATTAAATTAACATTTCGAAACACTTCATAATCTGTGAATAATTTTACGGCAGTTATTTCTAGTCAGAACTATTGTCCATACTATGCCATTCAATATTTTACTCGCACTAATTTCTTGTACTTAACTTTCTTCTTTGATTTGATAAAGAAAAATGGTATTCCTTGTTAATTGCAATGAAGTGAAGGAGTTTGTTTCTTCTCCACCATTCAAAAATAAAAAGTGTAAGACTTCATATAATTTAATTCTAGAAAACTTCATGTGGAAGTCCATACATCCCAAAACGTCTTAATGTTGAACTAATGCTGATTTTGAGCTAAAATGCTAGTTTAATGATACTGGCTATGACCAACTAGTTAAAAATCATGCAAAATTTTCAGATGCACCTTTTGTGGATAGTCCATATATAAAATTCACATCATCAAAAATATAGATTGAAGATGGTTAATACATGCTTGTAAAATGAGAGTCTATTCCCCAGTTATTACCGGCGTATTCTTCTGTATGATAAAACGAATTCAGAACAAGTTTATTTTACATTGAAATGCACTCATATATTCTACACAGCCAAAACAAAAAAATGAACCAGAAATTCCTCTCCCACACAAATGCAATGAATCCTTCACAATCTACCTTTATGTTCAAATATAACTGAAGATTACGAAAGAAAAGGTAGAATCCTAAGAAAATAAAATTTCAATTGCAAAAAGTTTTGCACCGGTAAAGAGTGTGGGAGCAAAGGACCGGAAAAAAAAGGGATAGGTGACTAAAAACAAACGAGAAACTATGAAATTTTCCAGTTTTTTGAAGACATGAGGCTGGAAAATGATAAACTGCTTTAAACTAGTGATTCCGAAAAGAAAAGGAATCGTGCTATCAACGAAGCTCAACCAAATGGTTCTTCTCCCACTGACAATAAATCAAAGAGAACCTTTTCAAAATTTGTTTTTTCAATGAAACAAATTTCCTGTGCATCAGATTTTCATGAAAATGTTGAAAATAATGTGCCAGACCTAACATTCTGATTTAAAGTCAGCTTCATTCAAAGCCGAATATACATCAAGAACGTCCCTAGCTAGGCATTTCATGAACCAATATGTGGCACGTGTATAAAGATAGCATGTATAACGATACCAATAAATATTTCCATAAGAAATATAATCTATAATCTTATATAATATGTTCCATTTCATAAAGCCAAGAAAGAAAAGAAAATGTGAAGCTAGTGTTCAAAATAGGTCATGCAAATAATATGTGCATCAGACTCTCTTTAAAAATCAAAATTAAAAAATTAGTTTCCGGATCAAAGATTTGGGACAAAAACAGCAATAACAAGGGGAAAAATAGGTCACCGCAGTTGATGACAAAAGTGAAAATACCTAGCAGCATTGACCAAGAAATTAATCATTCCCTGATTTTGGGTTTGCGTTTGAAGTTTGCTCACATTGAAAGAATGGAAATTCTCTGACGTTCAATCGAATCATAATTTGATGTAATCCAAATTTTCTCTGTACAGTAGATAATTATCCAATAAACAAAATTTTAAGTGGACAGACAAGGGTCAATATGACTTTTCTAATTTTGAAGAAAAAATACTTTTAAGAAAATGAGATAAAAACAAAACAAATATCGCATGTATTCTCATAATTACAAGATGCATAATTTTCTACAAATTGCATGAACTTCCAAGATAATAATTTGCCTCCATATTTTATCGGACTTATAAAAACAAATTGTTCACTTCAAAATTCAGCAGATTTCTATTTATGTATGATTCTAAAACAGAACAATTGTCATATACTACCCTTCTTAACCAGGAAAATTATTTTAATTTGGAGTTAAAAACCATCACACTGGACTCTTGAATATAGTAAATGCCTAGATCTAAAACCAACCAAATACTTCATATTTTGCTAGCGGTATTAATCCGATGATGTCTATCTTTCATACACAAAGTTAAATTTTTTCTCCAATGTGACCTACCTGTTCAAGCAAACAATTAAAATAAAATCTGAAATTTAAAAAATCAATAGTTTCATGCGACTATCAATCAGTATTTAAAACTTTAAAAAGAGTAGCCTCATATAACTTCCTAAATACGAACAAAAACCCCACCTTTAAAAAATCAAAGCGCTTTTAGCATGATAGCATGACTTGCAAATGCTAACAGCCACCTGACTTATCTTTAAAAAATCAATTGTGTTATTGCGCTTTGTATTTCTTATTCATCAATTTCAATTAAACTATGCAAAATTTTCATGAATTTTTGAACTAACAATAAACAAACCACTCTACCTATCAAATTGTATGAAACACTTATGCAATCCAACAAGAATTTCCATTCGAAATTTACGGTCGAAAAGATCACATTTAGCTCAGAAATAAACAAAAAAATAATGTAAAATTAAAAAAAATTGACATTGTTCACATTTGCTCATAGCTAATATAACAAAGGTGGTGGAAAATATTAAAAAAAATTTCAGATGTAATATTTCTGCAACGATGGCGGGACTAATAATAACGATAAAAAAACTTCATATGATGCGACGTTATTGAAACCGTCAATTCCACTGGATTTGGTAGCAGGTTATGTATTTCTGAATTGATGAAAACACTCTTCCACATCATTCACAATCTTAATTAAATATAAGTTGCATTTTCAAAATTTTATATCGCTAGTCCATAGTAGTTAAATCTAGAATATTTTTCGCAATCAACAGGAAATACCTATAGTGAGTGGATGCTTCTTCTAAGTCATGTTTTCTAAGTCTACCTCTGATATAGAAAACAAGCATATTTTAAAAGAAACCTTAACTAAAACCTTTTAAGAAATTTTTCAAAAAATCAAGTTCTTCCAGGTGAAGATGAAGATGAGCACGTTTTCTCACTCTTTGCTTCACGCTCCGCCAAAATGCTATCAACAACTGATCGTGCTGCATGGATGCTGACACCTGCCGGACAGGCTTGCGTCACTTCCCCACCTAATTCACGCATTATAAATTCTGCATCTACATGTGCTTCCTTCCCATGCTCTTCGAGAATTTCTGAAAAAAACTTCTATGGATTTTAGAAAAATTATATCACCAAAATAATTGAAATAATTATAATTATAAACAGACGATATATTTTATTGATGTTAACTTTTCTACACATAATGATGCAGATTCATTTTTAAACTTTGTTTCATACTTTCATACTCTAACATACTCCGTTATAATCTAGAATTACAATTTAGTAAAGATTAAAGACGCCAGAAGAGGGTCGTTACAAATAACACAACAGTAGTCTTTATTTTATTTGAAATAAAGTTTAGAAGAACCTTGCACTCGCTCAAAGATCTTTTGCTTCCACCCTTCCTCTTTTTTAACTGCTTCTTGATCAACTTTCGGCGCTGCATCAAAACACACAAGTATGATAGTCATGTTATCTCGTGATCCTTTCGATAAACAAGCATCCAGCACCTGGAAAGAAATTCAACAGTCTAAAAAATTTTTCCACCTTTATAAAGCGTTAAATGAAAATTCGAAATTCTTAACCTAATGCGATTTGCAACTATTCTTATGAATAAAAATCCCTTCTCATGCTGCAATAGGCAAGAAACCAATAGCAGTGCCATCTAAAATCAGACATCTTTCCTAAACAATTTTTGGAAACTTTGTAGGTTCAAGTAGCCTTAGATGGAAGAAGGCCAAATGAAAGACGCATTTAATACGAATTATAAAGACAAAAATACTCATTTTTGACCAAATTTCGGCTGTATCCAATGTATATCAGCAAATATTCCAAAACTACATTACACACTACCATTCCAAAGATCACATATATCATAACTGACATAAGAATTCCCCTCTCTCAACAAAAAAAGCAACTTGGTTTGCAACGCTGGAGAGATCATTGGTTACAAGAAGACGCGATTCTACGAAACTACAAATCTCGGTATTTTCCATGACATCGTAAACTCCATCACAAGCAAGCAACAGGAACTCATCCACTTTCTGAAATAACCCATATATAAAGCATCCAATAGCTGTCTTGTAAAAAGAAATTCATTTTTATATTCACAAAACAAAATAATAAAGTCTAATTAAACACAATCAAAATATCAAGAAAGAGAAAGAAAAAATGAGCAAGATTCTAAGAAATCAACAAATTCTGGTGTAACATCTGATAACCGCACAGTTGATCGAAATCAACTGAACGATTATGCCAGTATCCAAACTCTTGATGAACTTCATTCACTTTCTGCTAAGTGTGCCATTAGCAGAATTATAATTCTCAGAAATACATAGCATCCGTTTTTGTTTCCTTCATTATCCAAACAGAATTCCTTACCGGATCTCGTACAATCGTATAAATATCTGGTTCCGGACTGACCAACTGTTTCGTTGCATCCAAACCTGGAACAGCTTTGTATTCAAAGTCACCGAGCGCTCGAGATACAGCTAAGCTCCCATTGACACGCTGGATCATCACGGAACCACCAGCATTCACGATACGATCGCGTTCTTTTGGAAGGAACGGTTTATGATCCTCCGTACCAAATGCTGCTTGACCTTTCCGTGCCAGCACGGCACGAGAATCACCTAAATATTCGTAAAATACAAAACATCTCCAAATATCATCAGCAATATCAATATGTAACCCATAAGAACTTAATTTATTGACTTATGCATAAGGCAAAAGATTTGCGCAGTATCCAAAGTGTGTAAATGAATGACTGCTTTTCACAACAATACAGAAAAGCTAACAGTTTCTAACTGATAATCGCACAAAATATTGAACTTAAAATAACTGTATCAATGTTTATAAATATCTAACATGCCAAAAAAACGTATTGAAAGGAAGTAAATTTGTTAA